GTCAGATTGCTCGGCCCTTAGTTTGATTTCTTAAGACAAGGTGGCTGGTTCTTGTGCGTCCAGCATGCTGGCTGATGTCCCCTGAGGCGTGAGCAGGCCGCAGCAGGGTCTGTCGTGTGGGAGCTGCCCCCTTACTCCTGCGTCACCCTTCTGTACGGACTGGCCGGGGGCAGGGGACCCCTGCTTCAGAGGAATCATTCTTCTCTGTAAGGGGGCAGGCCCCTAAACTTTGAAATGTGTCTAACCGCTATCCAACAGGAGTCTGGGGTTTCCCTGGCTTGGGAAGTTATTCAGTTTCACTGCTTCTCTGAGATGCGAAATCTGCAGCTGTCCAGCCAGGCCTGTCCCCATGGCTTGTAAATATCCGACCAGTCCGGTTAATGGGATAAAATAGGAGACGCGGAGAGTGCTGCTTGTCCTCGCCATTGAAGAGGAAAGCTGGGGTTGAACATGAAAGGGGAGTGTGAAATGTACAGAGAATGGAAAGGCACAGATCCAGTTCCATTGAAATGCTGACGCTGGTTAATGATGGTGGAACAATCCTGGAGTACAGGACAATTGAGGAAGTCCAATGGGATGTAAAGATCAATGCAAATGAGATACATCTGGCTGTTCCACTGATTTTCATTGGCATCCCATTCGTGAACATGTGGCATTGTGGCTCAGGTGTTTGAGCTACAAAGTACCTGCAATCGGACACAATAAAAAGCCCAGTCTGTGTCAGGCCTGTCCTGTCACCAGCAGAGTGGGCACTCTCGTTTGACAGCTTGTTTAAAGGCTTACTGGGGAGCAGTTTGCAGGGCCTGTGCAGGCAGAATTGTACAGGACGATGTATACAGACCAGCTAAACGGGCAAGTAAAAATATTCACGTACGGCACAATGTGCAAGCAGCACCTGCAGATAACGTGTGGGAGCATGTAATTGCAGTTTGTTTCTTAATTAGTAGTTAGAAAAGATGCTGAATATTATTCAGTGCGCTTCAGCAAGTTCAGGCCCTCTGACTGCTTACCATACCCTGGGCTTTGCTCTGATTTCTGGGGGCTGGTTAAGGCTCCTTCATCAGCCTGAGAGCTGAAAAATGCTTCAAAGGACGTTCGACGGGAAACAGTGTGACTGGGACTCTCTGCGTTAATGTGTGTGTTGCGCTGAAAGCATTCCATTGATTAGCACAAATCTTGTTGACATCCCTTGCAGTCTTGACTTTCCAGCTGACCTGGCTCTGACCCAGGAACAGCACTGTTCTCTTCCCTGGGCAATATGCACTGAGCATGGCCTGCACTGCTGGCTAACAGCTGGCATAATGGAGGCTATTCAGAGCTGGCAGTGTGAAAGCCTGGATTATCTTGGAAGGACTATATGCTGGTCCACAACGGAAAGATTTAGACATCTAGCTTCTTGTGTCTCTCTGAATATATTAGTGCTTGAGGGCACAGAGACTCCAGCTCTTCTGTTCATATCACTCCCTGCTCTGCTCGCACCCTGTTCTGTGCAGGGGATCGGTGGGTTTAGGAGAAGTCAGAGTGTCCCCAGTGTTTGGAGCAGGAGCTCAGATCTGCGGTGGGGGGGGTCTTCTGGCTCACGCCTCCCGAGGCTCTCTGGCTGGCTGGGCTCGTGTTGCTTGGGGTTTGGGGTGTGCTTGGGGATTGGGGTTTAGCAGACGGTAGCTCTGTGCTCTTCGTGAGGCCTGCCCGATGTGCGGTCTCCCCCCCCCCACGATCACCACACCCCTCAGTCATGGCAGTGTGCACCGGTGTGCCCCCCCACATGCCTCGAGCCCCCCGCAGACAGAGAGAGCCAAAGCTCGCTGGGGAGTGGGGTTCACTCGCAACTGGCTTGTTCTGCATTTAGGGTGCCAGTGACGAAAAGCAACTGTTGAATTAAATCCTGGGCAGCTCCGCTAGCTGGACTGCATCCCAGTCTTCTGATTAAATGAGGAATTTAGGTTTAAGATGAGGAAGAGACAAAGCATTTCAAGATTAAAGATTCGGGAGAGAGGGGGCATATGCTTACTTAGATGTTTAGCTTCTAAGGATTGCACCTTACACTAAAGTGTTCACCATTTAAAGAGATGTCATGGTATTTTATTCATTTGGTTTAAACTGCAAATTAGCTTTAAATGGGATTAAAGAAGGCAAGAGTTACAGAAGGCGCACACTCTGTAGACATCTATATTATTGTCTGCCTTATAGACAGTCCAGCCTTCTGCACGCCCTGTCTTCTGTCTCGAAGGAAATGGAAGGCCTGTTTATCCTGGGCGTAGTCTGCTCTGTGCTGAAGAGAGGTGCAGTGCGCTGTAGATTCAGAAGCAGCTGGCAGAGAGCCTGGGGAGGTCATATTAACATCAGGCATGCTTGCTTACAGTCAGCTCAGCCTGGGAGTCAAGTTGGGATCTGTAGAGAAATAATAATGTGATCTTTAACTGTAAGGGCCCTTGTCTTGCTGTAGACTGTATTCAGTTTTTTGGGGCTGTTTATCCTTTAACTGGGAAACTGATACTTTTTTGTTTGCGAGAGCCTGTAATAAAAAAAAACATGCTTCTGCTGGATTGCCTTTGTTACAGACTGAAGTTTCTTTAGCTGTGACCATTGTGTAACAAGCTGGATACCTAAACGTTTTTAGGTAAGTGGGTAACGTGCGTGTGATAAACCCGCGTGGGTGAGGACTCGCGCTTGTCCATTCTTCTGAGGGAGTCGTGATTTAATTCAATACCTCGTGTCCCCGTGTGTCGCCCGTGATATGGGCTCGCCTCAGTGCAGAGGGGCGAGGAGTGCCCGACCCCCACGAGAGTCACTCCTAACAATACACTAACGGTTACCAGTGACAGGAGGCCTTTCTAGTTCCTTGGGTGTTGGTAGTTAATTAAACCCAGGATTTCTTCCAAGTGGATCTTGAAAATCAGATTTCTTTTGGCAATGCTTTCAACAACCTGGCTGAGCAGCTTGTTCCCCGACAGCCCTTTGGGTAAAGACATGCCTCCTGTTCTTGGCTGTTCAGTTTCCAGTTTCCACTTGTGCCCTGTGGTTCGTGTTGCGCCGAGTGGCTGGGTGTTGTGCTCCAGGCACTGTTCAGGGTACAAGATGGAGTTTAACAGCAGTGACATATTATGCTGTCTTTATTGCCTGGGGGCAGAGTTGAGCAGCTGACTGGATGCTTGTAATCACTGCGGCTCTCTTTTATCTCGTTTGCTTCTTTACTTTCAAAGATTACGTCAGAGAACAATGAAGTGAAGGATCACATCAGCTCGCTGGCATTTAGACTGGGGTCTGCCTTTTTTTTAAAAAAAGCACACCCATTCTGTTTATTATCACAAGATCTTGCTTTCGTAATTTGAGACTGTATTCCGCAGGACTGGGGTTCAGTCCACGCTGTCGTTTTTCCTGGTGATTTGAGAAAGTCATGTTAAGGGTTGTCATTGTGCTTGCAGTACCCAGATTGCATTCGATCGCCCTGTTCACATGATTCAATCTGAATCTGTCAAGAGCAGATTCTTCTTGTTGGGCGTGGAAGAGAAATCTCTCATATCTCAGGAATTGTTGAGCTGAGTGACAATCTACAGATCAAGATGGGAGATTCTACTTTATTGTTGGTCATATTTCACAGTGACAATTATTGCCAAATGTACCTTTACTCAGTATTCATTTAATGCTTTCCTTCCTTTTATAAGTGGAAAATCACTGCATAACCACTAATTCTTCTGAAAGCCATTTTAACCTGTGAAGTGTTTTTTAGCTCAATTGCAGTACTTAGTTTAGTGTTTGAGAGGCAACCTGTATCTTATCTTTAACTCTTAAGAAATTCAGCCCCACCTAAAACACTCAGCTTACTGGCTCATTTTCATAAAGCCTCTGAGAGCCCCAGGTCACACAGTGCAGTGGTACTACCCTTGCTTACCCACTGAAGCCACTGGATGAGGTTGTGATGAGACTAGTCATAAGATGGGTAATGTTTAAAAAAAGAGGTGTGGCTTGTGATTTCAATTGTGCATTCAATCCAGGTTGCATGTTGCAACCTGGTGACAAGACTCGTCTTTCTTCCAGTTTGAGGCATTTAAGTGTTGATAATTGAACTCCATGGACTCCCAGTTAACAGGCTCTTATGAAAGCTTTTGCAAAGGAAGAAAACGTGGAGCGGAGATTACAGAGCTTAGAGTTGGGCGCCCAGTAGGAACCAGCCGACCTGCAGTCACAGTTCCAGAGGAGAGGGTGAGGGTGCGTCATCCGCATCCGCGTGCGTGCATGGCAAGCAGGCAGGAAAGTAAAGGCTTGTTTTCTGAATGAGTGGATGGACACTGTGGCCCTTCAGGCAGCCTGGAAGAAAACCTTCTCTGCGCCTGTTCACAGGAGGCGCGCGCGTGGCGTAGCTCCGAGCGCAGTCTGAGGCAGGAGGTAGTCTGCCTTCTGTGCACACAGGGTTCATCGCGTTCCTCTTTCTGCATGTGCAAAGTACAACCCATAGACTCCGCGCCTCCGTTTGGGCATGGGCCCTGCCGAGAGCTTCCCACCTGGTTTGGTCACCTTCAAAGTCATCATCATTGTCTCCCTTTTACACTCCTCTCCCTTTGCCTTCCAGGTTATATGAAACGACAAAGAAGAGCGACAGTCCTCTGCAGAAAGCTGTCAGCCCGATCGCCTGGTGCAGACAAGTGTTGGATCACCCAACTCCAGACATCGAGTCTGCCAAGAGGTCACTGATACACAGGCTGGATCTCACCATGTCAGGTGAATGAGCGTGTTTAAGACCTTGCACTCCAGCCTACAGCACTGACGTCACCGCAACAGGTCTGATTCTGTTCTAGACTCCTGCCTAAATAACTACAGCCTTCTGGCAATAAAAGTCAAGTTGAATGCTCACATTGACAAACTGTATCCAGGCAGTAAAAAAAAAAAAAACATATCAGGAATACACAGGAGTGAAATGTCAGCATTCACCACGGTTTCATTATAAAGCACCGTGCCTCACTTAACACGCTGTTTAATGCAGAATGGGAGAGAATTGTGCATTTTGAATATTTATCCTCTTTTAAAGAATCATGAGGCCTCAACTATTTTAGATCACTTCATGTAACAGTGAGACAGCAGGCACTGAGAGGCCTTTAGAAATTATTAAAATGCTAGGTGATGCAGAGCCCTTCTCTAGTCATATGTAGGGGTTTGCACTTAAGCATTAGTGCCATTAAAATATAAAAAATCCTTAATACAAGTCAACCAAGTTGCTACAGGTTTGCATGTTTGTATGCAAAGTAGTTTGCCTATTTATTATTCCAACAATGAAGAATTGTGAAACAGGGACCCGGAAATCGTCTTTCTTTCAGTCATTTTCAGATAAGTCCTCCGTCCTGCGTGTAGAATGTTTTGGATGTGCACCTGCATGTTGGTCTCAAGGTGAAAGCAAAGAAGAGCCTCCTGCTATCAGTTTTAAATTAATTCTCCACTTGTGTCCTCAGATTCGTGTTTCATAAATAGTTATTCTGTTAAGTTTTGATAGAAATGTAGATCCGTATTTTGAACAGTGTATCTAGTTGCTCTTCTCTGAAGGTCTGATCTCACCTCAGGGCAGTAAAATCGATAGTATTACATCATTTAAAGAGGTTCAAGAGCTTTTTACACAACATGAAGTCAGCTTTGCCGGATACATTTCCGGATTACATCAATGGTCATTATTGGAGACTTGGTATCTCTACTCTACTTGGTATCCCCAAGAGTTTTAGATTCTACTCACCAGACTGCCATATGTTGTCTTTGACTGTAGTAGAAAACTTGGACAACACATTTGTCTTTTCTAGAATTGGTTGCTGTAACGCCCTACTCGCTGGGGTATCTAAATCCACACTGAACAAACCTTAGTATGTCTGGAATTCAGGAGCCAGAATCCCATCCAGGTCTAGTGCAAATGATAACATTACTCCTTTCCTGGAGTCCTTGTACTGAATTTCTGTCGGATTTTGCGTCCACTTCAAAATCCTCATGCTTGCGTTCACGGCTCGATATAGGTTGGCACGTCAGTACCTGTCTGACATATCCGTCTACTCCCCACCCCACACCCTTCATTTGTTTGCCTCCGGTCTCCTGTCTGTCCCCCAAGCTCATATATACCCTGTAGGTGACAGGCCCTTCTCCTGCTGTGCATCAAAGCTGTGGAATTCTGTCCCCAAGGATATCGGAGAGTCGCTTACCCTGAACACATTCCGATCCAGCCTCGAAACCTTCTGTAGAACCTTCTGCTTTTATATAATCAGTGTGTTCCTGCTCCATGTTCTGATAACCATGGATCTTCTGCTGCACGTCTAACCTATTGCGTTTCTTGTATGTGCTTATTTTGTCACTTGCTGTCCTTAAAACCCAAAGAAACAGTTTTGTTTTTTTTTTTGCACCTGTTGTAAAGTGCTTTATTATTATGTTGATTTCAGCCTCAACATGTTTGTTGGGAGGCAAAAGATGCTGATTAGTGTTATTTTTGTCTCTGCTCTTTCCCAGTGGGCACAAACCCTGTGTCCCAGATACAAAACACCATTTGTTAGTTTTTTTCCTGAAACTTTATATATATATAAACATTCATTTGTAACTTTTCAAATGTTCTTGTGCTCAAGACCCCCCAGTAGTGTTCAATAATAATCCTTACACTTATATAGTGCTTTACTGTACGGTACACTCAAAGTGCTTTACAGGTAATGGGGATCCCCTCCACCAGCACCAGTGTGCAGCCCCACCTGGATGATGCACCAGTCTGCTCCCCACACACCAGCTCTCACTGGGGAGGAGAGCTGAGTGATGGAGCCAGTTCACAGATGGGGATTATTGGGAATTATTTGGCCAGGGCACCGGGGGGAATTTGAATATATCGGATTGTGGGCACTGCACGTTCCATTTGTACACCTCTGAGTGTTGCTCAGATCCATCAGAGGGGCGCAGTTCAGGCAGCTGTGTTCGGAGTTCTTGGAGTAAACTGCCGCGCTCCCAGGAGAAGTGCGAAGTTCCCCGGAGTGCCTGGGCAGTGGGGGAGTGTACCCGTGTGCTGGCCGGGCAGGGAACCAGGCGAATGCTCTCTGCTGACGGGCCCCGCTGCTGCATTGGAGCAGTGCTTTGTGTGAGCATTGCGGCTAATTTTAGACGATGCCTCAGTCTGGACTGGGCTCGGATTCCACAGGCTGGAATTGGAGCCCTGCTGCCGGGTTTAATAAAGCACACTCATGTGACGGAGGGCTTGCGTAAGGTGCAGAATATTGTGGAGGCCAGTGTGTTTATAGGCCTGCAGCATGTATGATCCCAGTCCCAGAGCAGATTGTAGGTCTCAGTAGTTGTAGCTGGTGATGATCCGAAGGTGGAATGGAAGAAGTCTGTACTGCAGAGATCTTGCTTTCCAACACAACAGTGTTTTCTTAAGCTGCATCGCAAATGCACTACAAGGTCCAGATGAATTGTGATGGTCTGCAGTTCGCTGCAGCCTGTCTGGTTTCTGTTATTTCATTTTCAGTACCGGAGGGAAAGGTTTCTGTGCTTGACAATGCAGGGGAATATTATGCGCATGTTTGCCAATATCTTGCCCATTGTTTTTCTTTTTGTATTGCAAGCAATGAATCATGAAGCAGTGAGGTCAGCAGAACATCTGGCTCTTCGGTTTATGCATTCTTGATATATTTAGGTTCTTAAGTAATGGGCCGTTGTTAGTGCAGTAGCTTTGTTTAGGAGCTGTTTTGTGCAGTTGCTGTGGGACTGGGCTTTGGATGGCAGTACTGCGTGGGGGTTTTTTTCTCAGCCCTCTGAGTCTTGATCAGTCACCCCTGTCCTGTCTTAGAGACCATGCTTCAGGTCATGTAAAGGCATTTTCACTCCGTGGAGCCCGATATTTGCTCACGCTCTTATGTAAAAAGTCTCCTTTCTCCCAGACACTGCGTGTGGTAGGGGCTAAAGAAGCACATCAATGTGAATCTGGTCCTTTCGCTGCGCTTAGCCGGTCAGACTGGGCCCCTTTCCTTGTGCAGTCAGTCAGCAGCTGTATCTACAGGTGTGAAGTCCCAGGCCCTTTCACCTTTGGGGGTGACCTTTGGGACCCTTAAGGTACAGGTTCAGCATCTTGACTTTTCAATGTGATTAACAGTTTTATCAGCGTTGTCTTTTTCAGAACATAAGGTTAGAATTCCTCTCTGAGGCTTAGGGTTGGGTAGTACAGCTCGGGTACCGCCCTCTCTTGAGCAAGTGTTGAGTAGCAACCCCTCGACCCTCACTTTTAACTTGTTGCTTCTCAAGTGCTGCTGTGTACTTAAGGATTTGGGAATTTATTTTTTTCTCCTTCTTCTTCCACGTGCCCTGTGTGCTTTTCCTGTTAAGCCGAGCATTCTGTAGCCCCAGATTACTGTCAGAAGCACATCTCTTCCTCAGACAGTAGGTGGCACGGAGGAACTTGTCGAGTCTGCTCCTGCTGGGAGTTGATCTCTTTCCCTTCTGAATGAAAAGCACTGCGCGTGTGTGGACTGTGTTGATGATCGATATTCTGACTCCTTGTTCCTGATGAACACCCTTTTGGACAGCAGTGTTGGAGGTCTTCTCAGTAATGTTCAGCATTGTGTCTTTAGAAAGTCTGCGCACCCTTTCCCAAAAATACATGCCTAACAGCCTGGAATAAAGACCCTTTAGATCACTTAGTGTACAGGTAGCAGCAGAGACCTAAAGGATTCTCCAGGTTTATTCTGACATCATCATCAAGATGAGCTTGTTTGATTTGGAAGCCAGTTGGTTACGCCAGCACTCATTTACAATTGCTGTTCCTTAACAAATGTGTATACTTATGCCACCCATGTTTTTCTAGGTTTTCATTTATAATTACTTTTCAGAATGCTTCAGCGTCTGTGTTGTACTTGGAGGCTGTGTGTTATTGTGTGTAAATAAAGATAAAATCTGATCTAATGTATCTTGATATCGGGCTGTTAGAGCACAAAATATTACTTTGGAAAGGGTGTGTAGACCTTCTGTAGGCACTGTATGTATACACACTATACCAGAAACGTTCCATAGGGCCTTGCTAATGTCAGTTTAAAGAGATTTCTGACCATTTCCCCCTTTAAACCATACAGAAAACTGTTAAAAACTTCATCACAAGACTTTCTGTTTAATTCTTTAAGTAGCTGCCCTCTGCTAGTAGTGGGGAAAAGCCCTGTTTTGAATATGTACCTGTCCTGTACAGCCCATCAGGGAGTGTGTTCATAGTTCCAGTCGCAGACGCAGTGGCTGTGTGGAGCCCAGAGCGCTGTCTCTGGGTCTAGGACATTAAAATCTGCAGATGGATGCAAATTGCAGTCATTCCACAGATGATATCGCGTGTCATTTCCATAGTGGACCGCAGACCTGAGATCACCTGTGGTTTACCATCTGCAGGCCAGTGTTGAAGATGAGGGATTACTCAAATGATTGAAGAGGCACAGAAGCCAAGAGAAGTGAGGTCTGATGGCAGGATTTATGAGGTTTTTTTACAAAGGATTTTGTTTCGTGTAATGCATGGCTTTTAGATTTCAGTCTGTTGGTTACTTAATGGTCTCTGCAGAAGCTGTCAGCACCGTAATTTACAACTGCTCATTTCAGAGCGGGAGTCTTTACAGGCCGGAATGGCTGTGTTGCACGTTAAACCACTCGCCCACAGCTCCAGCTCGCATCCGAACGAGCCGTCTTCCCTTCCAGAGGATCCCCTCGAGTGGAGTAAGGACCTCACCCTTGGATTTTAACAACCACTGTGTCACCATTTATTTTCACAATGCAGTAATTTTCCGCCCCAAGCACTGCAAAGACCCCAAGGCCTTCAGAGCTCTAACTGTAAATCCTTTCTGCAGTGTGCAGAAGCAGCTCTTATCTCCAGATGACTACTGAGAACGTAGGGCCTTTGCCAGTATTAATTAAGGTGTAAAATTAAGCTTAACTGCACACAAGTTATACAGTACATGGAGCTGTCTTGTGCGCACAGTTAGCCATATATTTAACAATGAGCACATGCTATCAGCGCTGCTGGAGAATGTCTGAAGCTCCCAGTGGTCACAGTCTGCCTCGCCCAGTATAGTGCACAGCTGTGTTCACTTCCAAACTGTGTCATGTAGGCGTGGCTGTCTTGAAGATCAGATGCATTTTAGGTGTAAAATACAGACCCACCTAGGGATGGGGGTGGGCCGTTAACTTTTTTTCTTAGCACTGTATGCCCGGTCAGCTGAAGTTGCTTTTGTTTCAGAAGTGTAATTCCTCCTAGTGCTTTTCTAGTAGCAGGACCAGTTAACTTGTGGTGCAGATGGCGCTGGCTGTCAGTCTTGGATGTGTGGGCTTTGCCCTCAGCTGCCTCACCTCACCCTCCCCCAGCTTTCTCTCTCTCAGGCTGTTTGCTTTTTGTGATCTTGGTTTTAGCAATACAGGGGAAGTGCTGCTTAAGCTCAAATAAAAATGTGACCTTCTGTTCTAGTAAGCTGGCCTGGTGCAGACTCACTAGTCCTGTAAGTGTATGTAACATGAGGGTTGTCAGACAGTTTAAACGATCGTCTTTAATCAAGACACGTGCGCCAGTTGGGAAATGGCACATGGAAAATCAGTCCAGAACACTGCAGTCCAGCCAGCCTTAGCCATGTTATGGAAACAACAGCAGGAGCCGAATGTGCAGGTGTAAACTTGTGGTCACACCTGTAGAGGAAGGTGTAGAGCACACTCAGGTGCTCGGCAGGGCCGTGTTCAGGCACTGGCACCACCAAGCTGAGCATTGATTCCCGTCTTTGCTGTACGCGGGCAGTGTGAGCTGGTGCCACGTCTTCTGTGGACGTGCTGGAGTCTTCAGGAGCCTCTTGAGTCTGTGCTGCTGCTTAGTCTGGTGAGAGCAGCATCGTACTGCACTGACATCATTTGTGGTCAATCTTATGTGTGCTTGCCTGAGTACTCGGCAGTGTCGTTATTCTTCTGTCTTTGAGAAACCAGCCGTTTGTGAACGTTTAATTGATTAAGACACGCACTTCTCTGTCTAGTAAATTGCCTCTAATAAAATACTGCTACTGTAGGGAAATGATAGATTATTTCTCTGTAAACCCCTTGCTCTTAGACATTGTGATAATTGCCTGGTTAATGCGTTCCTTGGGTGAATAATAGCAGAGTACACTGACAGTTAATCTGTGAAGGGATCCGTTACACATTCATTTATACATACTGCAGTTCCAGGAAAATCCTCTTGAAAGTAGATTCTGACCACCATATTAAATATAAGTAATGCATACCAGCTGAATGACAAAATCGGTTGCTGCAGACATTTTCCACCCACTTAATCTTCTGTCATTCTTTCCTAAACGCCTCATTGCTCTGTTTGCTGGTGAGCACCAGTGAGACCCTTCTGGCAGAAAGCCACCTTTCTGTGTCTGGTTGTCTGACCCATTAAATACCTCTCTCTGAATAGCCCTGGGAACCCTAGCTTCTTCCTTGCAGTGAATGCATTCTGTCCAGCTTATCTAAAATCGGGAAATTCCCGAATTTTTATTTCAGTAAGAACAATTGCAGACTTATTGACATTCATAAAAATACTGTAAGCGGGCTGTTACAGTTCTGCTGTTTAGCTGCTTTTAATGGTGCTGCAATGAATATGCTGGAATGCCACGGTGCACCAGAGCCATTCGGAAGACCAAACCAGTTGGCGGCGAGCTCTCGGCTGCTGGTTCGGCTTCGGCAGGGTGCTCCGGCACCCTGTGACCCCTTTGTGTTTCTCTCCTCTCAGCAAACAAGAGGCGGAGTTTCTACGGCAGCCCGTACAGCCCCACGGCGGGAAACTCGCCGTACAGCAGCGGCTTCAACTCGCCCTCCTCCACCCCGGCGCGGGTGCCCATCGTCAAGCAGCTGGTGCTCCCGGGCAGCTCAGGTACGGGGCGCCTCGGCTCTCGGGTGGCACGCGACCGGCCTGAGGCTCCCGTGAGTCGCCCAGCGGGCGAGGTGCTTCCAGACATGCGTGATGCCGGTCGGATTTCACCCGGGGCCTGTCTTGGCGTTGCATTGCAGGACACTACAGGAGCCCCGCCGACAGGAACCCTCCCATCAGCCCCCAGTCCTCGGTCGACAGCGAGCTGAGCACCTCGGAGATGGACGAGGACTCCGTGGGGTCGGGATACAAGCTCAACGACGTCACAGACGTGCAGATTCTGGCGCGGATGCAGGAGGAGAGTGAGTATGGGGAAAGCGTGCGTGTGCGTGTGCGTGTGCGCGCGGGTAAGCGTGCTCCCTTTCCCATCGCGGTCACGGATTGCTTTCCCGACAGCCGACGGCGCGAGACGTTAGTGGAACCGGTCTGTCTTCTTATCTGGTGTTGTCTCGGGAGGGGAGGGGAGGGCTGTACTCCTCTGACGTGTCCTGCAGGAGTGCAGGGTCTCGCAGCGAGGCAGCAGGCGTTCGTGTCTCGTGGGGTGAGAGTGCGCAGCGCGGGGCGCGGCGGGCGCGAGGAGGCCCGTGTCCGGCTGAGCCGCTGTGCTGTGTCCGCAGGTCTGCGGCAGGAGTACGCGGCCACAGCCTCCCGGCGCAGCTCGGGCTCCTCCTGCCACTCCCTGCGCCGCGGCACCTTCAGCGACCAGGAGCTGGACGCCCACAGCCTGGAGGACGACGAGGAGGCCGCCCACCACGGCTTCCACCCCCCCGTCAGCCGCTTCTCGCCCTCGCCGCGGCCCTCACCGCGGCCCTCGCCCCGGCCCTCCCCCCGCCACTCGCCGCGCTCCCGCTCGCCGGCCCGCTCCCTGGAGTACAACCGCACCTCCCCGCAGCCCATCATCAGCCGGCTGCAGCAGCCCCGCCTGTCCCTGCAGGGCCACGGCTCCGACCTGCAGGCCAACGCCGTCAGGAACGAAGGTGAGGAGCTGGGGGGGAGGGGGGCTCCTCACGTCAGGGCGCACCCACATCAGCTGCTGCCCATGCTGGTGTATCCGGGATGGTGCTTGACACAGGGAGGTACGGGGGGGCCTGGATTGCTTTTTAACAGGCCGTTACTCTGCCCAGCTCACGTCTCGCTGTCCTACCACTGCAGTCCCAGTGCTTTTTAATACTCCTCAGAGGATAGCAGAATTTAGCTCTGAGACCGGGGTGCCTGAGCACGGGGTCCTGTAAGCCTTTGCTTTAAGATGCTTCCTCAGAAACGCCACTCGTTCCGTAAAGCAAACCTCCAGCTCTTGTCAGCTGGGTTAGTCACGGACGAAATCAGTTTGGCCACTTGTGTGCTGAGAGGGATCATTGCTCCACTTGTTGGGACAGCTGTTGCGGTGGTAGTCAGCAGTATCTGTAGTTTACCACCAGTGCATTTACATGTATTCATTTAGAAGAACAGCATGCAGTTGGACACGATGCAGAGGGTGCAGGTAGCAGTAGCATGTAGAGATCTTCAGCGTGGAGTGCTTGATGCGAAAGAACACACAGAAGAAACAAAGTGACTGCTCAACAAAAGCAAATGAAGAACCAGCTATCGGTACTTTGTGGAGAATAAAACCTTGAATAAAGACTTTCAGAGCCCCTTGATTTGGATAAGATCAGATCAGATGAGATCACTTTATTAGCCGCATACAATTTCTTGTATTAAGGGTTTGTCTTCGCAGACCCCAGCTTGCTCTCCATGAGACGCACAGACAGGGAGAGAAGCTGGGGGTCAGAGCGCAGGGTCAGCCATTTATACGGTGCCCCTGGAGCAGTTGGGGTGAAGGGCCTTGCTCAGGGGCCCAACGGAGTAGGATTCCTCTGCCGGCCACGGGATTCAAACCAGCAACCTTCCAGCTACAGGCGCAGATCCTTAGCCACAGAGCCACCCATCGGTCCAGGCTGCCTTGAAATGGCTTGTAACCATGTTTAAGAGAACAGAAAATGAGGAAGGTTGCAAATGAGTGGAGTAGAGGCCACTCTGCCCATCTACTCGCTGGAAGTTCATGTCGATAGATCTCATCCCGCTGTTTCTCCAAGTAAACCAGGGTTCGTCAGCTTCAACAGGGTGTCATTGTAACTTGTTCTGTACTCCCACAGCCCTTTTTCCTGCAGAAGTGCCTCCTGGTGTTGGTTTTATATGCGTTTCCTCTTCACTTCCACCTGAATATTAGCGTTTCAGGTGTCGTGTCTGCAAGCAGAACCGCTGATCTGATGTGATGTGGCTTCTGCTTCCAGGTTCCTGCGATCACAGAATGTGCGTAATGCGTCACAGAATTGGCAGTCAAGCTGAAGTTCTTGCAGAAGAAGACATTTTTATCCCGTTTGTCGCTGCGTTTCCATTGGATCTGTCACCAGAGCAGCTTGTGAACGGAACGTTTGTCAGAGATGCTTGGTGGGGTTGGTCCAGGGTAGATGCAGTATTCATAAAATTGCCACTTCTGGTTCACGGCACAGGGCCTATGGCTGGTTGTCTTGACCTCAAATTCCCAGTTGTTCTTGTACTGGTTTAATGCAGTGGCAACATCCCAGCCTTATCACTGGTAATGATGTCACCATTTCAGAGCTACTGGCAAGTATCAGTTGAAATCTGATACTTGACTAAGTGAATTGTTGTCCATCATAACTAGGGTGTAGCAGCAGCGGCGGCAGAGGCAGGTGAAGCTGGTGCAGAGCTAGACAAGGACCTTGTTTTCAGACAAGGACCTTGTTTTCAGACAAGGTAAAAGCGCTCCTTGCTGTGTGGATGAAAGCCCCATGCAGGACATGCACTGTATGATCTCTGAAAGGCTTCTGAAACACTGGATCCTTTGCAAATATAAAAAATGCTCAACTGATGGTGGTAGCTGTCGAATGCCGGCAGTCTTTGCAAAATTTTTTGCTGCTTCACAAACGGAAAGCAGGAGGCAGTAACAAGTTTATAAGTTATAAGTCGTGAGCTCCAGGGTATGCTGGCTCTTTCTCTGCACATTTCACAACTCATAAAATCCATCCAGTGAATTACGATGAGCAAGCCCTGAGTATCTCTAGATCTCCCCAATTCCCTGTGTGCCTCCATTTCAACACGGGGTTTGAATCGAAATTGCATCCTTGTGTTACAGTATGCCAGAGATTTTTTTAAATGCATTTTTACCTTAACATTTTCTTATTTCATGTTGCTGATTAACACTGCTGCAAAGTCTGTTGCAGAATTAGGTGCGTTTGGTGCAGAAACCACCCTTGTCCTTGTGGGAACTAGTCGAAGGGGAAAATAACCTGGCTGGGTTTAAGGTGAACCAGAGGGAACATGTGACATTTGTAAGGGCATGGGGCTCAAGGGATCCCTCAAGTACATGGGATTTCTCTGCAGTGCTCTGGAGTTCTTGTTTCTAGTCTTTATGATGAATCAAGATTCTTCGTGACTGTAGTTTTACTCTTGGTTAAGAAGGTCGCATTAGCATTCCCGTCTCCTGCTGGCAAAAGGCTGACTAATACAGAATCCCAGGTACAGGTCTCTACTGCGGGAGGTGACCCACCTTAGATCAGAAGAGTCGGAAACTTTGGAATGGTCCACTGCGTTTCACACATCCAACAAGCACTGCTGTAGCTTTTGTCAGAAAATGTTACTGTAAAATAAGCAAACATCTTAGTGTCTTAGGCGGATTTTGATCATTCCTAATGTCATTCTTTGTACAAGGGCCAGAATGACACTCGGAGTCTGCAGTCGATTGTGCTCATCTGTGCTTTATTGTTTTATTTTCTTTTGTCTTTTTTTCTTTGTTTCTTCTTCTTCCTCCGTGTCTCAGAGAAGCTCAGACGTAGTCTTCCAAACCTGTCTAGGACCGCGGGTGTCCAGGCAGCCGAGCCTGTCAAAAACAGCCGGAGCTGCGAATCTAACCTACAAGTGCCAAACGGAGGAGTGCCTCGGCTTCAGCAGCAATCAGCCAGTGAGTCTCTGGACAGAACCGCCTCTGTGTCTGCGGCCGGGTTCTCTGACTGCTGCCAGTGCTGGCCGTGTCAATCACAGCCCTCGTGCACAGCTGTGAAACATGAAGGCCTGGCACAGCCCCACGGCGCCGCCTTTGACACGCAGGGTGGCAGGTTCATTGTGCGCTTTGAGGAATTGTGCACTGACAGAGACCTGCGTGCGGCAGGGACAAGCCGCTTGGTGTCAAGGAAATTAAAAGGTCATCTGAGTATAACAAGACGCAGAGCTCTAAAATAAAATTTTATTTCCAATTAGCAAAGAGAATTTGAAAAAACAAAGGATGTGTTGCATGCTGGAAGAAGCAGTGTGATTTAAAAAAAAAAAGTCAACACCCCATCCTCAGGCCAGAGGTGTGCAGATTGTAGGTTGTGGACAGCTGGGTTCAGCACGTGTTCAGAGCAGATGGAATTAGTCAGCCTTGCAGGTCGGCCCTTCTGGACAGTTCCTCTCTCTCCACAGACGGCGGTCAGTGGCAAACAGTATTCCTGTGTGTGTGTGGAGAGCAGAAAACCCCGTTCCTGGGGAATCTGGAAGAAACTATTTATGCCAAAACAGCAACCTATTAGCTGCTAAACATCTTAGTAGGCAGGTCATTTTTACACATAAAGCACAACGGCTCAGCGGGCCAGAACTTTCCTGGTTTCTGTGCCGTTTAGCGATCAGAGAGCTTGCAACTCCCTCACTAGACAACCACTGGTCCTTCACAGGGCTTACTGGTCCTGCTCATACAGCTGGGTGGACTGGAGCAGCTGGGGTCAAGTATTCAAGAATTAGAAAGTACTTGAAGTACAGGGATTAAAACCATCATCCCCAGTTCTCTGCAGAGTAACGTTATCGCGCCCCGTGATCTGATATGTGTGTATGGTCAGGGAGTTTCTGCACTCTACTGTCGTGTATTTTCTATAAAGTCCTGGCAGTTCTGTAGCATCACAGCTGGGCATCAGAAGGGAAAGCTAAGCAGCATGAATGTCAGGCCATGAGAGACCAGAGGACATCCAGCATTGACGTTAATAAACGTGGGCACCAGGAACGCATTTCTGCACTCATTTTAGACCACGGCATCCTATCAAGGAGTTTTGAAAGCAACACGCAGCTCCTCTCTGCATTCCTCTTAACCGAAAGGCTGTCTTGGGTTTAGTGCAGATTGTGTCGCTCAGACTGTGTAGCAGTTTAAGTGTCGGCCTGAAAGGCACATCTGCTTGGCTTTTAAGGTCCCACAACCATCTCAACATCCCGACCGCATCTCCCGGCTTCCATGTGTGCTCAGCCGTTACTCAGTCCCTACCCTGGACTGAACTGGGTGGTGTCGGAGAGATCGCGAACAGACTGTGTGGAAATATGACTCCTGTGTTTTCTCACAGTGTGCAAATTTATTAGAACACTCCATTTCCCGTAGCTTTGATCTGTTGTGTTGAGGAAATCAACACACTGTAGCTGCAAGTGCTGATTAAGTTTTCAGAAACAGTTGTTAATTGGCTCAGAACGGACTTGCAGATTTTTCATATTTCATATCATATCATATCAAGGAGGTCTTGAACCATGGCAAAGCTGCAGTGATCTCAGATCCAGCTTTTAGTTTTATGGAAGGTGAGTTTGAGTAATGGAAATTGTTTCTGAAGTAAAAGATTTTTTGCCTGTGTTGAAACCCTTCAACACAGAAGTCTTGTTCTGAGTAAATTTGCTCACTGCTGTGTTTCTGTGTTAATGAATGTCTGTTCAGGTATATTTAAAGGGCTTTAATGCGGGGGATGACCTGTCTTTTGAGATGATAAAATGATGGCTGAGCACTGCACTCATAATAACCTTGCTTTGTACAGCTTCTTAATCTTGCTTATTTTCTGCTGCTGCTTGTGATTGATTGATTCTTGGCTTTTATGGCTGGAAGATCTGCCTCTGTTTTCATATCCCCTTTCTGAGCTTCAACGGTCTTTCTTTTTGCTTTCACTCCTGAAATCTTTTATAGGAAATTCAACGTATATTAATAAAAAAAACTGTCAACAGAAAGTGCAGTTTAGCAGAGGCTCCTTTTTTGTTACGTTTTTCAGAAGCAGATTTCTCTCATTTTTTTTAACTCGTACATTTGGGGAAGTCGGTTCCCTGCAGCATGTGAGTGCTCTTGTAGGTTGTCACTGTTCTCTGGGCAGAAGGATGCGATTGGCTGATGCCACAGAGGATCTCGAACACGCCCGGCTCCACCAGAAACACACACGTCTGTGTTAACTGCTTCCCTCCTTTCCCGATGATCTCAGCATGTCGTGCCTTTTTCCCATTTTGTTCATCGGCTTTGCTGAAGTGTCCTTGGGTTGTTCTCACTCCAGGGTTTTTTTTTTAATTGGTGGTGGATTTGGTATTTTTGATTGGAATCGGGTGCTGAGACCTCTCTCTCTCTTGCTGGTTGGGTTTCTGTGGCTGGAGCAGTCTGTTTCTGACGAACCCCCCTTCCATCCTTGACCCCTCGCCCCCCGTCCTCCCAGCACCCCTCCTCTGTTTCCGTCATCGCTTCCTCCTCCTCCCCCACCGCCTGGCTGCTTCAGGGGCCGTTGGAGTCCTCCTCCCTCCTTGGTGACCTGTTCAAACCCGTAACGTCTCCTTGTTTCTCTACAGCTCCGCACAGGTATACAAACATGACTCGTTCTTCCCCGAAAGCCAAACAGCTCCTTCAAAGTCCAGCTTCTTTGAGAGGTAACCCACTGCCTCTGCCCCCCACCTCTCAGCGGGAGGCTTGATGTTCTGTCCCTTTCTAGTTTTACACTTCTCTGTGACCCATCAGGGACTTCTGCTGAAAACACTGGCTTGCACCTGTCTCTTCACAGTCAGGACTGCAGTGCCCATGAGGCTGTGGCTGCTGCACCTTTTCACTCTTTCTATTCCTTCTTTTTTGTTTTTCTAACAGCTCCTAAGGTGCCTTACTTTAGATTACTCTATGGATATTGGCTGATGTGTGTGTTTTAAGGCCATACGAGGACTAGAATCAGGCATGGGAGGTGCCTGAAAACCTTCCTCAACAGCCGTGCCCTTTCACTGAAGCCAGAGAGTGCAGCTCGGATCGGCCTCGCTAACAGCCTGGGAGCAAGAACGTGCTCAGCTCGCAGCTCGCAGAGATGAGACCTGCCTTGCTTTAGCCACTGCTGGTGTCTTGAGTCACAGCAGTCAGATTACAGTAGTCTGGACCACTGTGCTGTTTTGGGTTTGTTTGCCAATATGTTGGAAAAAAGCGATTGGATTGGTTAGATGAGTAGTGCTGAATGGGATATCTGAGGAATCTGCTCTGCTGTACATTATCAGTGAAATATATTACAGATCAGGTGAAGAAGTGAGAAACTGTTTTACCAGTTAAGTTCAGGGTGAACCTCAAGGAAGCCCAGAGTGGAATGTAGTCAGAGCAACTCTATTTTTCCATTTAGCATCTTTTTTTTGGGCTTAATTTTCTACTCGGAATTTAGAGTGCCTTAAACCTGCAAATCGGTTAAGGTTACATTTTTTCCCAGTTACAATTGGCAGGTAATTCTGCTCCCTTAAACTGAGTTTGTGACCTGGGGGCGCTGTGGAGATCAGTCTCGGCTCTCCAGGGCAGTGGGTTCGGGTTCTTTCACCTTCTGTGCTGCTGTTTGCCGTCCACGATCTGAAACAATGGCACTGTGGCCCATTAAGACAAGTCTCACATTGCTGATGGAAACGCAGTAACTGGATAAAATGGATATGCCAGCAGTGATTTATTAGATTGGTGAACAGCCCGATCAAATTTGTGTTTATCTGACTTAATCAAGTCTGTGAAGGATTCCACAGGAATTATACGGTTGTCTAAACTGTATAATAGCATGCACCGTAAATAGAGACAAATATGCTACAGATTGCCTAAATAAAACCAAAATTAAAAGTTCAGTTTTATGTTAAAAGCTTTAGCGAAGGTCAAGTTTTAAAAATGTCAGCAGACGCCAACTTTGTAAAAGATTTGGGCAGCGAGGTGAACAGATGTGGTGCCACTGTGTGGCACAGATCCCGGATTGCAGCTGGACTCTAAACTGAGCTGCTGCTGTGGTGCCGGTCTGAGGCCTTCTTTGATCACAATGGGAACGGCCGACAGAAAAAACAGCGTTCATGTGCTTGAACATGCTTCTAGACATTTATCAAAAATTATTTTGCTGATCTATTAAGGGACAAGCTTGCCCAGACTATGTGGAAGTTAATTTTAAAAAATGAGAATAGGAGACACTACTCTGCACAATGGATTGTGGGATTGTGAGGGTCTAAGCACAAGCTACCCCACCATGTTTTTGAAGGTGATACTCTGGGTTCTTTCAAGAAACAACGGAACGGGATATTGGGTTCAATTCGCTGCTAGCAATTCTGTAACCTATGTACTTTATGGAGAAATTTCCATTTATCTGTCTTAAGAGATTAATTCCGTCTCATTCTTTTTGCTCCAGTTATTTTGGCCAGTACGACATAGGTGGCAGCTCGCCTTGTTGCTTAACGTCCTGAAACATCAGCAGGAGGTAGGACGGGACCTACACGTCCTGCCTCGTTGGCACTGCTTTCATCCCCAGCCGGCGACTAAACTCCGCCGCCGTTTTCCTCCTGCTCTTCAGTGACCTGTCCCTGTATCGCTCCTCCTGACGTCCTGCAGGCTGCCAGCTGGTTATGGCATCAAGCCCTGTTTATTTCTGTGCCTTAACACTGAGCTGCTTTAGCCAGGAGCTCCCTCAGTGCTCATTCCCCTTCCCCTGGCTTCTGGCATGTTACTGTTTCCCGTACCACAGGGATCCAGGAAGCAGTATGAGGCACTGATATGATGAGAGGGCAGTGCGGGACCAGCTGTAGGGCTAGGCCTGGTCATGTTGTGTGATTGCGGTATTGGTGCCCGAGGCCCAGCTGCAGCAGCCTGTGGTGCTGACAGGAGAGGAAGCGCACGGAGCTGCTGCTGGGCCTGCTGACCTTGTCTCTCTCTCGCCCTGCCCTTTCAGTCCCTTCGCCCAGCAAGCTGCGGGCCCCCGCGACCCCCTCCCCGCTGGCCCTCCGGCAGCCCATCAAGGCCGTGGCGACCCCCAGCCCCACCCACTCCTCCGGCTCGCCGGGCCCCACCCCCTCCCCCGCGGGCGGCGCCACCACCCCCACCCGCTCCCTGGGCGGGCGCAGCGGCCTCCCGCGCCCCAGCACCTCCGCGGGGGGCGGGATACCCGTGCCCCGCAGCAAGCTGGCCCAGCCGGTGCGGAGGTAAGGGCCTCGTCTCGTTCCCAGCTCCTCCCAGGCGCCGTGTGAGAAATCCTGGGAAGATCCCGGGCGTGTGCAGATTGAAGGGGACAAGTGTCCCTGTCCTTGACGTGGGGCTGCTTGGAGTACAGTAGAGTTGTTTATTGCCATATGTACACGCACATTGGAATTCTTCATCGCGCTGATCTCTTGGGACACACACAGTAAAACAGACAACACTACACAATGCGGACAACAGGAACAATAAATATATTGTGGGAAAATAAAAAAGGAACAACCAAGGGGGAAAAAAAAGGAGGGAACAAGGAAAAGGGGCAGAGGGCAGATGTGTATGGAGTCTGAGGCCCTGCAGTTATCTGCCGAGGATGCGCACTGCAGTGGGATAGAAGCTGCTCTTGAGTCTAGTGGTCCGCGCTTGAACAGTGCGGTACCGCTTGCCAGAGGGCAGGGGGGAGAGCAGTTCTCGTCTCCCTGGGCCAAGGCCCAGAGCTGAAAGCTACGGAAATATTACGAGCGCCGCTGTATGGCTCTCCTCTGGAAGATGGCTCTGTGGATGTTTTTCCTTGTAAGACTGCTCTGCATCCCTGCTCCTGAAAAGCTGTCCTCCTGTACGTTCCATGTGTGACTTTGAACACGTAAACCACTCTTATTAAACAAGTAATTGTCCGGTTATCTCACTCAGGGCTTAGCAGCGGCCGGCGCTGGAAACCTCTCTGCAGTGAGACCCGAGCTCTGTGACCAGGGCTGCTGGGTGGTTTGAAGCTGCCCATGGGTCCTGTGGGGCTGTCATGTCCCCTAACGCAGATCCAGTGATATTTAGATTACCCAGTAGTTTCCTCAGGATTACACCAGTGGCCAGTGTTGCAACAGTACTCATGTCCTACAGCTGAAGCTGATACCACAGCTTTTCAGGAAATGTCTTGCTCAGAACATCAGGTCTGTTAGCTACTAGCAGTCACATGAGCTTGTTGAGTGGAGTTCCCCCTTTTCATCTCAAGCTCCCTCATTCTGAGACAACAAAACTGTATCCGATAGCAAAGTCAGCAGATTATTTGTCTTTAGTTTTACGCTTCGGCTTCGAGCTAATGATATCACTACCGTCAGACTAGGTTATATTTTTTCCCCTTTCCTTCCAGATCATTGCAAGCTCCCAGGACCTACGGTGGTATAAAGGATGACAGCTGGAAAGAAGGCTGTTACTGAAGCCCCCCGGCCACGGCAGAGCTCTGAGCACGCAGCTCCATCTCTCCGTCTCCCACAGCTTCCCACGCGAGGGAGCCTCGGCCTCCGCCGATTAATCAGCACAGAACTGGCAATGCCAATGGCAATGCAGCACTTTACTGACGCTGGCTCTTTTTTTTTAAATAAAAAAAAAAATCTTCATACAATCACTTTTCCGCGGAATCCTCATCGAAGCAGAGCTCCTGCAGGACCCGGTGAGGTGTCCCAGGCGCCGGGGCTCGGTCCCAGTGGATGCCAAAGAAACCAGCTGTCTGCTCGCGGCAGCGAAGGGGAGGCGCGCGGACTGTTACACTCCGATCTGGCACAGCAGCGACGAGCCTCCGCGAGACCGGGAGTCGGGACGGGCTCCCTCGTGCCCCGCGCCGCGCGGACGCCTCTTGCTTGTGAAGGGCAGCAGGCAGCAGAGGAGGCACCTGACACTCGATCTGTGCTTTCACTGTTACTCCAGACATATCTGCCTGCAGAGGGTGCAGCTGAAATGACATATCTGGAGGAGGCCATGCCAAAGGGCTTAGTGTTCGTTTCTAGGATCTCTTTCTGTTCTGCACTGTATGTCTCGGCTCAGGAACCCGTCATTGGTGTGCAGCCAGCTTCTCGGTACAAGAGGGGGGCAGGTGCCCCTCGTGTCCGTCTCCCATCAGCATCTGTTCCTCTTCCCTCGCAGCGCAGAGCTGCACGTGGAGCTCTGTTCAAACTATGCACCCGTCCCACAGCGACACCAGACTGAAGCGTGTGGACTGGACACCTGCCTCCTTTCATCCTGCAGGCAGAGACGCGTTGTGTGTGAAACGCCCCTGTAACTTCAGTGTTACACATTGAGGTGCTGGGTAGGAGAAAGTTGCCTTGTATAGCCACGTCTCGCAGCGAGTAAGGCCTTGAGTCCTGGCAGTGCCCCCCATTTCATGCCTGTAAAGTGCCTGGGTTGATGAAATCAATCATCCTTCAGTTCAGTTTGGCAGTGCGCCCTGTCCGTTCAGACTGGTCTTCAGGAGGAGACCGTCGCTCCTCTGGTTTTGTGGTGGTGGGGTGGGTTTGGAGCCTCCAAGGCGACGCGCGCCGATCTCGGGCCGGCCCGCTGCCCCCAGGGCCCCGAGCGGCAGGCTCGTCCGCCCCTCCGGCCCAGGCAGTGCTTTCAAAAACACACTAGCTTTCCCATCCTCAGATACCTCGCCGTCGGGACACTCGAAACTGGCCGTCCCTGGGGCTTCGGTAAGCATATTGGTCTCCTGGCATTTTTGCTTTGCTTTCCTGAACAGCTCTGAGGTTCGAGTCTCAAGCCAGTCTGCTGCCAGAGACCTGGGGACTTGCCTGCTGGCGCCGATTTCACCCGAGTCCTCTCCGGATCGGTGATGTGTTGCCAGGAGATCGTCACAAAACAGCATTTATTTCAAGGAGGGTTCTTTTAGTCAACCAACTAGAGTGCATTGATATTTAAATTTGCGAGATATATTTATTCAAATTTATTTAAAAGACTTCTTTAAAATTATATTTTTTTTTCACAAAAATAAAATTCTTTGATTTGTTTTTGTTTTTTTAGCCTCCACTGCTAAAATTGTACATTGAAGATTTTGTTTTGTTGGAAAGTTCGTTTACGTTATTTATTGCTTGAATCCTGTTGATTTGGTTTTGTTTTGAGAATACTTTAAATAATGAGTGGACAGAAAAAAGTAGAATTAGGATTTCAAAAGTGGACTTAACTGTTAGCACAGCCAAGATTACTACAGACGACTTCTTTTAGGTTTCTTATTTGATGCCGTCGCTCTGCTTGAGTGTTGAGGTGTGTGACTGGCTACAGTTGAGGTAGAGGTTCTGTGAATTGATAGTGGGGGATGGTTCTTGCGTCACAGTTATTTGTATCATAATGTTTCCGACAACATCCCTCTCCGTTTTATATCCAGCAAGTTGATGGTTGTAGTTTTTTAAGAGTGCAAATAGAACAAATGTGTACAAGACAGAACTCCAACGCTAACCATTGTCTTTCGATCTTGGAACAAGTTTCTTACCTCACGGTGGTACAGTTGAAGGACACCGCCTGGTCTCCGGGCTCTCGGGCCCTGCGAGCCTCCTGACCTCCAGCGGTGCCCAGAGAGCAGCGCTTGACCTGTCCTTGTCTGTGACCGCGAGGCGTCCGGCTTGAGCTACGGACCCTGCTGCGGCTCCAGACGCCAGCCCATACAATCATCACCGAGCCGGGCTGGAAGCACAACGGCTTTCCCGTGTTCGGGAAGCGAGTGAAAAAGTGAGCTTTTCCCAAAGTCTTTTCCGTGTTTGGGAAAGTTCTGTTGTTAGGCAAGTGACTGCTGTCCTGTAAAGAACAGTTTGTTTAAATTTGGAAAGCAATAATTAAAAGGGGTGTCTCTGGAGGTTTAAGCGGCACAATATTAACTTTAGATTTAAAAGTTCTTTTCCGAACAGTAGAGGTGCCAAGCTCTCGCAGTTGCAGGTCGGATAGACTTTTAAACAAAAAATAAACATTTAATTTGACTGTTATAGTATTGTGTGACGTTGTACTAACAGCTTTATTAGTTGACAGGGTTATTGTCTTAGCTTTCTGTGCCAGAATAAAATTCAGATTCGTAGACGTGCAGTTTGCCCCCGGCTTGCGAAAGTAGCCTTAAATATTTAAAGAATCATTGTAGGATGGGGAATAAAAAATCCTTTAACGTGATTTTTTTAAATTAGCCAAGTTAAAGTCTGCATTTTAATCGGGAGTAACAAAAAGTGGAGTGTTAATTCTTTTAATCCAACATCTAATTTTTTTTTGCTACTCAACATTAAAAAACCCTTCCGCTGTAACGGATCTGTGCGTCTTCAGAGTGAAACGTACCCAGCGAGGCGGGCATGGTGTTTTGCATGCGCGCAGTGCTCATATATCGACCTCTGGGGTGGCATCTGTTAGTCCGCAAGGAGCCTGCAGACTGCTGGGGGACACCCCACCTGTAGTGACCCCCCAGAAGCGGGACCCCTCTCGATTGTCACTGAAACACATGCGACAGGCTCCCACACGTCCGCACAGCAGCTGGGACAAGGGGTCCTGCAGCAACAGCGCAGGAGGCTTTATTTTACTGCAGCTTTCTTTGTGTGAATGTATCTGGAGAAAAGTCCTTGCTCATCTCCTGCCGCTTCGTTGGGAAGGTGAGAATAAAATCTGTCGTACTATTCACCTTGTTTTACACCGCACAGAAGTGACGTTTTCTAAAGGGGGGGGACATTCTGCAGACTAAGGCAGTGGAATGACAGAGCCCTTGGGAATAAGACACCACAGTATCACTTCCGGTATGTACCTGAGCTGAATACCCTTACACCCGATTTCAGAAGTGAAACTCTGTGCGCTGTAACCTGCAGCATGTGTCTTCAAAACCCACTTTACAGGTGCAGCCCACTCCTCTGGGGGTAAGAGATAATGTAGAGTGTGTGTGTGTGCAGGTTACTTGATACAAACCCAGTGCCTATGATTTACATGAGTTATATCTTGACTTTTTCTGAATGTGCTTTTTTTTGTGCCAAGTCTGGATTTGTCATTTTACTTGTGTGGGCAGTAAGGATTTTCTTCTGCTTGGTTTTTTTTTTTTTGTTAATTCATGGTTTTCTGTAATTGCATTGATAAATTTATATTTGCTCTTGTAAAAAAAAAAATAACATGCACCTTGGTATTTAAGAATAAAAGCTTAATCTGTAAAATTATTTATATGCAGAAGCAGCACGCACTGTAATTCAAAGTTTTTCATTTTTGCAGGAGGCTTGTGCCACAAGTTGGAAAAGACAAGGACATACCACGAACTTTGTGTAATTATTTTGGTTACAATTTTTTATATAGTCACCAACATGTTTCATTTTTCCCCATGTAAAACCACATTTCAAATAAAACTAAAGAAAAACAACCTTTATGATGTTTCAAAAACTTGCACTTTTTACGGTCTTCACTTTCAGAAAAGACTGGTGTGTGTCTGTAAAATGCATTAGCTCCTTGTGTTGAGCAGTGTGGAGGGAGACTGGAGTAGCAGCAGATTCTCTGGACTCCTGACTGCAGGATTGCGGGTTCGAGTTTGGCATGGCAGTTGTACCAATGTCCAAGAAGGTGCAAATTAGGTCTTATTGCAACATAAATGAATATTCACAAATCACGTGAAATTCACTGTACAGTGTGTCCTAGTGTGAAAAACAAATCGGAAAGACTTGGATTTAAGCTAGTAGCTAGAAAAAATGGGTAGGAGTTAAAGTGTAATCCATAATGAACAATGTATACTGTAAATTAAGATTTTTAAGTGACTTGAGTGTTATTCTATTACTTGGGAATCTTTCTTGAGGGTCTGAACTCTCCTAAAACATGCAGCCATGCTTTGATGTGCATCACACCCCTGTTGTTACTGCTGTTCGAGCCCGTGAGTTCAGTGTCGTGCTACATGTACTGATCTAGGCTCCTTGATTGGAACAGGGGCTTTGGAGTTACTGTAAGTGACTCGTGTAAATTCCCGGGTGTCACTTCAGTTAAACCACAGCACAGTCCACCGCCATGGTGCCTCCGAGTATCGCTGCCGTCTCTTCTGGAGATGTACCAGATGGTCGCCCTCTTTCACATCACCGACGGCGTTCTTTGGGAGCAGGCTGAGCGAGGTACCACACTCGAGGGCACAGCTGCGCTGGGGCTTGAACCCGCAGCCCTGTGGCCCGGCAGCAGGTGTCCGCGCTGCTGTGCTGTAATGCTCTTCCCCGCACTACCAGAGCGTCAAGACAGATACATGAATTTAGATAGATGGTGTGGGGAAAAGACATTCCTTTAAACACATTATACAGTTTATACTAGTATACACTATCAAGCACTTGGTTGCTTGTGGCCTCTTCATATATTCTGATGAACCCTAGAAGCCCCTCAACAGCTGGCAGTGAAATAATGGTCTTGCTTATTATAATTCAGTGGAGTCAGTGAACCTCAGAAGACGGTATGGCCAGACTACCGTGGTGCTGTCTAGCACTCTAAAGAACTGCTCAGTTCTTTGTTAAGGATACACTTTCTCCGATATAAACAATGGATTCTAATAGATTGCATCATTGGTGCAAATAATGTGTAGTATCAATATACAGTATTTACTTTGAAAATGACAGGTTCTTGCTTATCAAAAACCATTGCATTTTCTACCATTTAAATGCCACCTCTTCAGCTAATTTCCTATGAAAAATGTGAACAATAATCCATTGTGTGAGAGGCTGATGATAAACTGTGAAGCCAAACCAGTGCAGGAGCCGCTGCTGTGTCTGTTCCCAATGAGCCCCTGGGACGTACACAGCAGGGCAGACCTAGTTGGCAAGTGAAAAAATAATCAGAATGATTAATAATTGGAGATCTGAAGGCAGTGGTGGCTGTTGAGGTAGCTTTGGCGAGAGACAGTCCTGCACAACAGATACAAATAAATTGCAGATAAACCCATGAAAGGAATTTGAATGCCTAAAATACCTTTCACATGTGCCTGTACATGCCGTTTTTAAATGCCCTTACAGCCTTCACAAGCAGGCCACCTTCAGGCAGTACAGTGTTACTACCATTCCCTATCTTGAAAAGAGCCATGATCGGTGCATCTGTTGTAAAGGGAACTCGCCACAAGGGGGCAGTAAGAGCACACGGTAGCTCAGTGGTCGACCAACTTAATGTAGGACGGGTATTGATGGCTGGTAGTCCGCTTGTCCTGTCTAATGTTCAAGACAAGACATCAGAGAGCTGGTGAGCACTGAGGAGTGTACACATGGGCATGTTCAGCAGAGTTTCTGCCGCCTTACCCCGATACACAGTCTCGTACACAGCGACTGGATGGAGCTTGAGTGAATGTTAGGAGGAGGGAAAGCTGTTCAGAGCTCATTTGCTTCGCGGGCATGACAAGATCATGAAAGATCATGCTCTTGAGAGAAATAAATTAGCCCTCAAAACAATAGAACCCCCCCCACCGTAGTTAGACCAAAGACCTGACCGCAGCTCTAACTGCAAGCGGCACTCTACCAGTGCCCGGATCTCGATGGCACTACAGTCAAGGCTTTCACCTGGGTCAGGGCAGATGGAAACACGTCTTTCTACGCGGGTATCACGCCTTTCCCCTGTCACTGCAGTTTCACTTGATGTAAATTCAGGATGTCGAAGCAGTGTGGAGCCCCTGTGACCCGGTGCAGTGCACAGGAAATAGTTTAAGAGGAAGCTGCTTCAAATTCGGTTGTGCAGAAATATTTATTTTTTTCATAACCACCACCAGAGTTCAGAGCCTTGTAATAATTATTGTCCCATTCTGCCTCTTCCAGATCTGTTTCGATATTTTTCACAAGGGGCTCGGCTGAAAAAACGTTCTAATCATTTATGTAGCGACTTTCTTTGGAGCGTTTTTGTAAGAGAGAAATCCAAGTGAAATTCTCCTACACATTTCATTATAATAAGCAGTTTATTGAAAGAAACTGTTCCATCCATTGCAGAATTTGAACTATGGGTGTATTTTCTAAATAACATAAATGTTTTCTGGGCCAATAGGAGTTTCGATATCTTCTTAAGGATTTGCAAAAAATTAAATTCTTGCATGCAAGTAATTCCTTGGAAACTAAGTGAAAGACCACTTAACACTGAGGAAATGTCTTTACACAAAGGGTGGTGGGAGAGTGGAACAAACTCCCAGTTGTGATCTTGACACCGAAACCCTGGCTTCTATCAAGAAACAGCTGGATGAATTTCTCCAATAGATTAGCTACAAACCCTCACACGCGCCCAGATGGACTGAATGGCCTCTCGTTTGTACCTGCTCCTATGGTCTAATTAGGTCTAATTCTTTCTCCTATCGGGAATGGCTAATTAGCGTCAGTTAGCATCATATCTTGATCTAAAACTGGCTAGCGAGTTGTCTCCTGGGTACAAAGACCAGTCTCCTTGAAGTGTTGTGAAAACACAGGAGATATTTCGAGTCTGCCCACTGTGGCAAAATAATGACAGGAGCTGCTGCCAGACGGCGGCAGTAAGGCTCCTCGAGAAATGAGCTGGGCCTGCCTGTGCTTCACTGTGCTGTCTTGCTGCCAGCCTGCAGGGGTCCCATGAGCGTGTCACCCCGTCACGATGCCTCCTCCAGCTTTACTGTATCTCAATTTAAAAATGAGTTTTATTGATTAGCCGAATCTTACCCCTTATTTACTCTCTTTTAGCAGATAAAATGTGTTTGAGAGGGCAGGAAAGTTGCCTGGGAGAGAGGCACGATCCTGACTCGCTCTTAACCGAAGAGACTCACAGTCTAGCCGGCACAGATGACGTCATCGCACCCGTCTCTCAGAATGCTTTATCCCAGCGGTCAAACAACGTCACCGGTAGCTGGTCACTTTCTTCAAGTTGGTTTCATTATTTATCGACCGAAATACATGTATGTGATGAAACTGGTTACTTGTTTCACTCCAGAGACTACAAAACGCAGAGAGATCTCTTGGCCGTCCAAAAGCACAGCCATTCGGTCGGCTTGGTCAGTAGACTTGAGCAGCTGTGCTCCGTGTCTTCAGTCATGGGACGGGGAAGACTTTAAAAGTCTTCAAATGCCTCCAAGAGTAAACTCAAAACCAGAGTTTCTGACCTGTAGTACACAGTAGTAGCTGGGTTCTCCTCTGCTCATGGGCTAGTGTTGCGGGTGATTTGCTAACATGTTAAAGGATGCTTTGGCATCAGTTCTTCTGTATAATGTCCGTTGTCGTACGGTATCCGAGCTGCCGCCTATCAGGAACGCTGGGGCTCAGGCGAACTGAAGTTCGTTTCACTCCGATGCGGATGCCAAGTTAGCAAAGCAGGACCGAGGCCCCTCGCCCCGAGCGCGGAGATGGGGCTGCGGTCTGCGACTGTACCCCGTGACTCTACTCGCACCTGTCCGAGGTGCTGAAACACGCCCCAGCGCCGGGGGATTCACGAGCAGCGCGAGTGGACAGGGGCCTCCACTCGGCCTGGACCGCTGCGGGGTGTCCCTTACTCTGGGCAACAAGGCTGAGAACAGCAACCGCACAGTCCTACAACAGTAACTCGCGTAGATGGGTGTGTTCGTTTTATTATCATTGCGAGTTCCCATGCTTACACCGGGGGTGTGATCGTATTATCTTTTTTTCCTGCCCTCATGATTGCTCTTGCGACTGGAGCAACGCCTCTCTTAGAAACCAGGACAGTTTGGGTTTTTTTTTTAACCCAGTCGCTCCTTATGATGCGACTTACGGCTCCGCTTCTTTCAACACGATCGTACCAATAAAAAGAAGGCTTTGCGCACAGCTGAAGACTTTACGAAGACAAACCGGAGACAGATACGGGAGTAGAAATGTTGGTGGCCAATTTGTAATGTGAAAATCTGAAAAAAAAGAAACTCTGATGTGAGGGACGCCGAGGACAAGCCCTTGCCTGAGCCGTGCGCGCTGTGAGATAATAAAAAAACGCCAAGAGCAAGACTGAGCGCCGGCTTCTCTGGGATGATAAGCAGAGCCCCTCGAAGCGCGTGTTATGTGCTCACTGAAGCCCCTCCACTGGATTGAACCATTCCCGCGAGGGAGCATGTCTTAAAGGACAGAGCGCTCCCTGCCCGTCAGACCACTCCGATCTCTCCCCACCCAGCGGCTGGCCACGGGTCCGGAGGATGAGGCGCTAGGGAGTCCGACAGCTCCTCACGCACCCACAGGGGATAAAAAGCGGACACCCGCGGGCTGCCTGGGGGACGTGAGAGGGGGGTATTTCCCCAACTTGATGATGGAGAATTCCAGCGCTGCAGCAACCGGCCAGTTTGCGCCCGAACGCTTCGCGGAATTTTTAAACTTGAAGGAAAGCGAGATGAACACCACGCGTGTCGCGGGTGGCCCCCCAGAGGGGCTCCCCGGCGATGGAGGGATAGCCACCGGGGATCCGGTGTCCATCCTGGCCAGCACGGTGAGGACCGCCGCCCTCGGGGCGTGGGCGGCAGACGGACCGTCCGCTCCCCCGCCGCCGGGCTCGGCCGGGCTGATGGTGGCCTTCTGGGATTCGCCCCTGAGCCACGGGATCAACGTGTTCGTGGGCATCGTGCTGTGCTTCACCATGCTGGGCCTGGGGTGCACAGTGGAGGTCAGCCACCTGGGAGAGCACATCCGCAGACCCGTCGGGGTCCTGCTGGCTCTGGTGTGCCAGTTTGTCATCATGCCGCTGGTGGCCTTCCTGCTGGCCCTCGCCTTCTCCCTGGACGACGTGGCGGCCATCGCCGTCCTCCTGTGCGGCTGCTGCCCTGGCGGGAACCTGTCCAACATCATGTCCCTCCTGGTGGACGGCGAGATGAACCTCAGGTACAGTCTTCCGTCTCCTGGCGAGCTCCAGCAAGTAAGACACGTCCAACCCGGGTTTAAAAACAAGGTGCCGGGCTGCTGGCATTTTCTTTTTTGTTGCACAACCTAATCTTTTGTAAAGTACTTTTTTTCAAGTGTAGAATCGCCGTTTCTGAGACGCACACGCGGTCTGGAGACCCGGCAGCGGCGGCACCGTTTGCGCGCTGAGAAACCGCATAAATTCAAGAATTGCGTTAGAAATTTCGAAATCGTGTAGTCGTATCCTTCTAATACCGAAACGTAACCCGCATATATTTTTAGAGGACACTCATTTTTCACAACTCAATACCTCAGGCGCTTGAAAGTTGTATAGGTTACATGCCCACATGCAGTATGTAAAATTAAATACGGCAAAGACGATGGTTTGGTGACTAAGCATTTTTACAACCTGTATTCGGCTATTTTCATAATATAATATTTCATATTAGAATATGATGTCATATTTAAGTCGTATAACACCGATAACATACGTCTAGTTTTTACCATTTCTTTGTATAAGTGCTTTGTCAGTTTCTTCCAATTACACCGCTACTAAACTATACTGTTAAATAAACGATTAGAAAACAATAAGCCATGGTCAATGAATTGCGTAACTGCAGCTTATTTATGTTAGTTATTTTTAATTACTGGTAAATGATTAATGAACTCCCGTTTGCCCATCCGCGGCCGGCCAGCGGAGCGGGGTCGCTGTAACTTTCTTCGGCCCAGCGCACTGTTGCTTGTCAAGACACCGCTGCGAGCCAAGAGCAGAGGCCGGTCTGTAGCTCATGTCTGCACGGCTACAGCCTGTCTTCCTCCTCCTCTCCCCAGCATCATCATGACCATCTCCTCCACGGTGCTGGCCCTCGGGCTGATGCCTCTGTGCCTGTGGATCTACAGTCGCGCGTGGATCAACACCCCCGTGGTGAACCTGATGCCCTTCGGAGCCATCATCCTGACCCTCTGCGGCACCCTCATCCCCATCGGCCTGGGGGTCTTCCTCAGGTACCGCTGCAACAGGGCCGCTGACGTCATCTTAAAGGTGAGCGCCCTCCGTCCGGAGATCCCGCTCCGTTTCTGTTGTCAGGGCAACGCTGTGCGCCCCGGTCCAGCTGGACACTGGGCAAGACGGAGCCGTGTGAGAGATCCAGCTCAATGAGACAACGCATCGTTACTGTTGCTCCGATATTTATTTAATTTTTTTTAACCTTTTTTGAGCAGGTTTGTTTCTCACCGATCCGAAAAAACTGGCAGAACTCGGCAAAACGGAGGACAGATTTACAGCAGCTTCCAAAACTCCCAAAGAACGTTTTCTTTTTCAAAAACCTGTTTCTAACACGGATGTTGTAGTTTTAATACCCAGACGCCACAGAGACTAAAGCTGTGGAGCTGGGCGTTAAAGAATATAGTTTTTTTTTACTAAAAACAGTGGAGAAATACAGTACTGATACGTCGGATCTCAGGGTTCCGTTGCTCATTTTAACAAAATAAATTATTTCTTTAGCCTGCTCATTATAAATCGAAATGGAATTTATTTCGAGTCCATTAATCGTGGGGTTTTTAATGACGCAGGAGACAATAGTTAGAAAGCTACATAACTGTTGTATTTTCTATTGTATATATTCCATAATGTAGAAATCAAACACCTTATAAGGTAGCTAGAAAATGTGTTGACGATGGTGAGAAACAACGAATTTAATTGATTGCACCTAATTGTGATGTAAGACATCACTGCACGACAATATGCATAAGAGTAATTATAACTGTTAATAAATTAATAATTAACAATTTTACTATTCAACTGTTCTACATCAGCATGAATGAAGCCTGCAATTTTTTAACGAGTCACGATGTCCCCACACACCCCTTTAAAATAGGATACATTTGTGACATCTAATTTGTGTCCAACCAAGGGTAAATCACATTTTTAACGAAAATGAAATCATTTTCACACACCTGTAATTTTTTAAAAAAAGGGACAGGACTGCGCGCTAGCTCGATTACAAGCTTGTTTGGCGTGTAGCGGGTGGTTGAACTCGGGCGGCCGTGTCTTGAAGAATACCATCTTCGACTTCGCGCAGAGAAACCTGCTCCAGACACCCACCACTGCTGGGGCACAGACGCGTCCAGCTCGCAGTCCTGGTGTTATTTTCTCGTAATCCCCGCTGCTCTCCGCTGGGGTTGCCTTTCGCCTCCTGACGCTGCTTGTTTCCCGACCCCTGCGCCCCTCCCCCCAGGTATCTCTGTGGTCCTTGCTGGTGACTCTGGTCATCCTCTTCATCCTGACCGGAACCATGCTGGGACCCGAGCTGCTGGCCACCGTCCCGGCCTCCGTCTACGCGGTGGCCGTGCTGATGCCCCTGGCCGGCTACGGCGCCGGCTACGGCCTCGGGGTGCTCTTCGACCTGCCCCCCAACAGCCGGAGGACCGTGTCCCTGGAGACCGGCTGCCAGAACGTGCAGCTCTGCACGGCCATCCTCAAGCTGGCCTTCCCCCCGCAGCTCATCGGCGGCCTGTACATGTTCCCCCTGCTCTACGCCCTCTTCCAGGCGGCGGAGGCCGGCCTGTTCATTCTGGGGTACAGGGTCTACCGGCGGGACGTGCTCCGCAAGCAGGAGCCCACGGGGGAGGGCGACGACGACACCGACATCACGTACAGGAAGCTGAAGGAAGAAGACGCCGGGGCAGACGCGGCGTACGGAGCGGTGACCGTACACGAAGCGGGCTCCCTGACGCTGCAGCCGCGCCACTGCGCTGCCCCGCTATAACGGGACCCGGCCGGACAGAGCTCGGCACCGCCGGGGTCTCGCCCGAGTCTCCCTCGACTCCCCCAGAGGCCTCGTATCGCCGTAAAGACATGACCGAGAAAAGACGATGTGCTGCTGACACGCTACACCCAAGACAGCATAGCTCCCAGGTGAAATGTACTTTTGGGAAATAAATCCACAGAAATCATCCATAAAAGCGTTTTGAGGCCGCTGAAGCACCACAGTGTTTCAAGAGTAGGACAAGCTTGAGGAACACAAACCGATATACTCCAAAACCACCGAACAATACAAAATAAACTATTTACGACTGTAAACTAAACTATGTAAATTGGCATCGCTGAACAACGCTATATTAAACATATACAGTATATATGCATCCGATCATCTCTATAATAACAAGTTAACCTAACGCATTTATTCACATAGTATGCTGACAGAAGTTTAAGCTATCTCTCCATATCACACATTTCTGGAATTATTTCAAAATGGGCAGAAGTGCTTTAAAAAAACGTTTTAGGAAAAGCCTCTAATTAAATGGAAAAAAAAACAAACAAATCTGATGTAGACGAGGTCGTTATAGGGGTAGCTGAAGGGCACAAACTGGCGCTTTTGTCAAGTTACCGTCTATAAATTCTCATTATTATTTTACAGGCAGTTCACTAGACTGCTGGAGCACAACAGACAATTCATTTGTCATACCTGGTCCTCAAACTAGCGTGTCGGGATTCACAAAAGGTGATTTAAATCAATGAAAAGGTGCAGGCAGAGTCTTGGGTACAAATCTGTTTCTAAAACTCTGGCTCAGATTGAAGAATAAAAGAACAGTTGCCGGCCATGCGACCCATTTAGTCTGCTCGGTAGTTAGTAGGTAACTGCTCCCAGGGTCTCATCCCGTCATTACTTGAAAGAAACCGGAGTACCGGCTTCAACAACATGGCTGGGCAGCTTGTTCCACACTCCCACAACACTCCGTGTAAAGAAGTAACTCACGTTCTCGCTTTTAAATGCGCTTCCATGTTGCTTCCACGCGTGTCCTCTGGTGTGTTTCACTCTGAATCCTGGAGACATCCGCTGGGTCGGTCCTCAGTTCTTCAGCTCATCGGTGCAGGAATTCATTCATTCATTAAACAGCTGCGTCTATTCGCTAGCCTACGGAGAGGTCCTAAAGCAGCAAGATCTATTTTTGTAACGCGGTGACCAAAATAAACACGGAATTCCAAATTCGGTTTCACTAGTAAACTGTACACATTCAGTTCTGAGATCCTATATATATATATCCTTATACTTTGTTGTTTATTGTATTATTTTTTTTACTTGCCCATATTCTCTAGGAGATGTGATGAATGCACCTGTTCCCCAAACAAAAAAGAATGCTTTCCGATACCTGTGATTTCAAGTCTAAAACGTTCACGAAGCATCACAAGAGAGCACTCGGCGACAAAGTGTACAAAGATGGCGTTTAGGCCTGTTAAGAATATTGTGGGTACAAAAAAAAAACAACTAATAAAAAGCCATTTGAAAACACTCTTCGGAACACGTTTGGAGTGTTTTTTCGCCCCTACAAGCCTGACACAGACATTCTCGCCCTCGTTAAGCTAATTGGGGTTAATGAAAGACACACGGTGCCTGACCCGCCCCGCCCCGCCCGCAGAGCCGGCCAATCGGCTCACGAACAGCGCCGCTACTAAAAGGCGCCCGGGGAGGCGGGGGGAGTTGGCTATCCATCATGGCTACGTACGGTGACGAGTATGCAGACAGCTACCTGTACTCTTCCTACAACCCTTACTCGTACAGGTACTTCAATCCCAGGCCCAGAGGGGCGGGCTGGAGGCAAAAGAGTTACCTGTCCAGCTACGGGGACACGGAGAGTTACTTTGACAACCACCAGAGGGCGCAGCTGAAGTCCATCCTGTCGCAGATCAACCCGAACCTGACGCCCCGGCTGAGGAAGGCGAACACTAAGGACGTCGGGGTGCAGGTCAACCCGAAGACGGACGCCTCCGTGCAGTGCTCTCTGGGGCCCAGGACCTTGCCGGCGCGGACCCGTCAGGCCCTCAGGCGGAGGAGGCAGGATGTGCAGGTGACCGGCAGCCCCGTCAGCAGCATCGAGAAGGAGGTGCGCTTTCCCAGGACCCTCGCCGTGTACTCGCCCATCGCTTCCAGGCGGCTGACCTCTTTCCTGCAGGAAGAGAAGGACGAGGGCGAGAGGCCGCCGCCCCCGGACCCAGAGGAGCCGGAGCAGGCCGGCGAGGAAGGCGAGGAGCAAGAGAGCCGGACGACATCCGCGGAGGGTGAGCCGGAGCCGGAGCCGGAGCCGGAGCCGGAGCCGGAGCCGGAGCCGGAGCCGGAGCCGGCAGCCGGAGAGGAAGCCGAACCGGAGAAAGACCACAACGAAGACGACGACGACGAAGACGCCGGCGGCGCTAAGGAGGCGCCGCCGAGCAGAACTGAAAGCGTCCCGAAAGACCAAGACGTGACGAACGCCAAGGCCCGAGTGAGATTTCAGGTGAGCCGTGCGATCTCGCCCTTCTCTTGCTGTTGAGTAGTTGACTTCATGTCCCGAGAAAGACGAATCGCAACATTCAGTGCGGTGTACAGTAAGTAACCTGGCAGATTTAAACTGCTGCTGGCTAGAAACTCTCACCAGTAACCAGTCTGCTGTCCCAGAACCAGAGGCTACTGGGAGGGAGTCTGAATCCCTGTTATAGAGCGGTTTCCCAGGCCTGGCTCGGGAGTTCCACCACATCTACAGGTTTATTAAAAATCGATAAGGTTGTGATAAATCCTGGGTCTGCTGATGTTCCTGCCAACACTGGAGCAATGTGTGTAAACCAAGCTAAAGCAGTTCTGCTCTCGTTTCATTGGCATGACCTGCCGATGGGGCTTGTCAAGCTTTTTGTCTAATCTGCTTGCTTTGCTTCTTTTGAAAAGCAAAGACCAGCATCCCAGAACTGGGTTACTCTTTGGATGATCTTCAGTTAAGTCTTTGCAGGTCCCTTAACTGGGGGGGAATCTACAGGAGGTCATTATACTTTCCTAACGGGAATGAAGACTGGTGCTTTGAAAGAGCAGGTGTAGACAGTGTTCCAGGAACAGCTAGCTGACTAATGTTCACGTTGAGTAAATCCCATCTTGCTCACTTGGTGAGGTTTTGTCTGCAGTTCCTGGAGCAGAAGTATGGCTACTATCACTGCAGAGACTGTAACCTCCGCTGGGAGAGTGCGTACGTGTGGTGTGTGCAGGGCACCAACAAGGTGAGCGATGGGACGATTCTCCTTCCTTGCTCTGGGGGGGGGAGGAGGAATCTCAAACTAATTTTGTGTCTTGTTGCAATAGGTTTATTTCAAGCAGTTCTGTAGGACGTGCCAGAAGGCCTATAATCCCTACCGCGTGGAAGACATCACGTGCCAGGTAAGTGCTGATGGGGGCGATGGCTTCTAGACCGGTTTAACTCCTCACCCGAGGTCCCAGGTCCCAGACACGAGCTTCCAGCTCACACGGGCTTAACGTGGGGGGGCTGACGCGAGTTGCTCACTTGCTGATTGAACCCCTGGAAGCAGCTCCTCAGTTCTATTTCAGTAACTTGTGGCCCAGAATGGCTTCGGGGGTCTCGGCTATGCTTGGCTCCTGGAGGGGCTCGGTCCTGTGGCGGCTCTGCCAGACTGGCACGTCCGGGGCGGGGTATGGGTATGGGCTGGCTTCTGTTGGAGCCCGTGTTCAGGCAGTGCTGAGCCGGCTCCGGACGAGGGAGGGGATCCTGGCGTGAGGCTGACCTGTGTGGCTTCCTCCTCCTCTTCCTCTGGCAGGCCTGCAAGCAGTCCAGGTGCACGTGCCCGACCACCATGCGGCACGTCGACCCCAAGCGGCCCCATCGCCAGGACCTGTGCGGCCGCTGCAAGGGCAAGCGCCTGTCCTGCGACAGCACCTTCAGCTTCAAGTACATCATCTGAGCCCCGCCAGCAGGAGGCGCCCTTCATCGCACCATACTGCAGTGATGGAGACCGACCCTTGGGGTCTGGTGTTACTGTGCAGATGTAAGCTTTTTGAGTCCCAAGTTTTTTTTTTTTGATGAATGACTTTCTTTTGTTGGCAATTGCAAGAACTGTTATGGGAAAAAATAAATGGAAAGATGGCACTCCTCTCCTTGATTGTTAGTTGTTGACATGCACATGCCTACTGCTGGGGCCGAAGAGGCATGCTCTGTCCTCATGTGTTGGATCGGGGTAAAATGGAGTATTGGTCTTTCAGCTAAAAATTAAAAGACTTGTGACCTAGACTGTGGTTTTTAAAAGTTCATTGTGATGTATGGGCTTCATTCTAGGGCAGATGATCCAGTGACTGCTGCATTAGATGCTGGCCAGTTCCCATGTTCTGTCCAGCAATGCTTGTTTCATGGGCAGATTTTTTTTTTTCCCTACCTGCTCTAGGCTTTTCCAAGATGCTTCAGCACAAGTATTAAAAAAAAAAAAAGAGGCTTCTGAGCAAGTGCAGTTGAAGCTTTAACAGGTTTCAGCTGATGACCCTCAAGTCCAGCTTCTCCTGAGCTGGAGCAAGTGCTGTGAACTTATTCCTCACTGAGTCATGTTGATTTCAAGCCCTGTCTGGTTTGTGCTTTTTTTTTTTTTGAGTGCTACTCGAGCAGCTGCAGTATGTACCTGCTTGAGATGGTGTTGGAAATTGAAAACCCTCCTTCAAGCTGGAGGTGTGGGGGGGAATTGTCAGTTTCTGCTAATTAAAGAGGGTTCCTATGCATGTCAAAAAGCTTCACTAGTGTATTTCCTTGTTAAACTCTGTACACAAGTTAGCCATAACTGCAGCTGAGGCTTTTCCTCAGACAAGTTGGTAACAGGGTAAGCCACTACACCAGGGGCAGAGGCCAGGTGGTGAGGGTTAATTGCTGTAGAAAATGCCTAAATTGCCTCCTTACGGGTTTTGTGGGACCAATGTCAGGGCTCTTCGACCAGTCAGACTTGAGTCTTAATTTAGTAGAAATTGGTGTTGCTGCCCCAGCACTTGGGTGGGTGGACTGTTCTCTGAACCCCTATCAGCTGGCCCAGGCCTGGGTGGGGTGTGATTAATCAGTGCAGCAGGCTTGCCCGTTGGAACTACTATCTCTGTGTGCATGAAGACTCCCGTTATTGCAGCATGGTTGCGTGTGCTAATGTATCTTTCACTTCACTCCGCTGAAGGGCATGACTAAAATGAGGTTATGTAAGTATGTGATACTAAAAAAAAAAAAAAGCTGAGATGCTGCTGCAGAGGACAGTGATGGGAAAGGATGCAGTGTTTGGCTTCTCTGGAAGGGAGAGGATAGCCCTATGCCTACAGTGAGACTTGTGGAGGGGATTTGAGGTAAAGGTCCTGTACAACAGCTCCTGAATATTTTTTTTTAGGGTGAAATAGCAAACAATGATATTCAGCCATTTTCAGTGTCCTGGGGTGGTAATTTGAGCTGAACTTATGAAATTGGAGCTTTAGATGGTCAGAGCTGTAGCTGTATTTTAATCCCTTTTCAAAAGGGCTCAATTTCTTAGGATGTTTTCAGCTCGTGTGCCCTCCTATCATTGTCAGATCCATCAAGGAAGCAGAGTAGGACTGGGTCTGGCAAGAGGGGCATGGACTGATGTCTAAAGAAAGTTGTGCTGCTGCTGCTGGACCAGTTTCCACCACCCTCCATCCCGACTTAGGATACTGATAGGGTAGATATGTTAAGGTACCAGGGTGCCGTTTGGAAAGAAAGGGGGCTTCAACACTATGAAGTTCCCTCTTTATTCCACTTGTGATCTGATTCCTCAATTCTTCTCCTTTGTGGGGGTGGTGCCTGGTTCCAGACTTTACAGGGAGGGGAGGTGGGTCTTTACTAACTCCCTGTGCTTTAGGGGCCATAGGGCCAAACTTGGAGCCCTTAGAGTAGGCCTTCCACAGCAGTTCTCCACTGGAACAAAACCAGCTCCACCCAACGAAGCAAAGCCACATCTGCAGGGAGTACATCTCCAACTTTTTGCTGTAGCTGCTCCAACTGCAGCTTGCCCATAGTTCAAACAGTGCTTGTCCTGTCATCAACAGCTTTAGGAAGTTAAAGAACAGAAAATAAAGCAGATTTTTTTAGAACAGGCTTGAAAAGTGAAGCAGCAGGCAGTGAGGAGCTCAGGTCTAGTGGGCAGGACAAAGCTCAGGGGAAGCTGCCCAGCTCCTCCACCCGGAAAGCACAGAGGAGGAAATGCACCGAACATCCACACAGCAGGGAACCAAACAAAAGAGGCTCAGATTATAAAGATTTCTTTTATTTACATTTTCACTATCAAATAAACATGTTTAGCCAGAACAAAGTCAATTGTTGTGATTTAATACCCTAAATCTTGATGGCTGTTCTACAATAAAACAGAAACCCACAATGGGTTCTGATCCCAGGTTATTGTGAAACTTGTGCAATGGAGGGATCCCCAACAGAAGTCAAATAAAGGCTTTGAGCCACAGGGGCTGTCATTCTGCTCAGAGCACATAACCACCACGGAGAAAGCAAGATGCTTGGACCACCTCTCTCACTGGCCTGTTGGCAACGAGTCCAAAGGAAGGACGCGTCAGTAGGGGTCAAGGAGAGGGAGGAATGTGGGCATGTGGCCGAGTGCTCCTCACAGAGTCCCAGTCCCGCTCAGAGCAGCGAGGTCTCTTCAGCTTGGAGAAGCGGCGGAAAAGGCATGACGATGGACCCAGGCTCTTCCCGAGAGGGAGGAAAGGCCATGCTCCAAATGAATCACAATTAACCACAGTGGTAACTAAAACGGCGCTCCTTTACTTCGGTGAATCGTCCCGACGCTGCCAGCTTCTTTGGCAAGCAGGGCCGCAGGCAGCTTTGGTCACTGAAGCCGGCCTCCCCCCAGTCTGGGTTGTGAATTGTGACCCAATGCTACAGTATCCTTTGCTTTAAAGTGCTGCATGAACCTCTTAGCAAAATAAAATACCTTGGTTGAGTCTAAGCAAAGACAGTTGACGGGGAGCTGCTTTCGCACATGAGTATTTCTGACTTGTGTGCAGACATCCTCAGATTTGACACGGTCAGCTGACATGGCAGCAAGGCCCACTGAAGAAACAGCAGCACAAGGCAAAGTTTAGCTTTGTAAATGGAGGCGACACCCCAGCCATTACTCAAGAGCGGCTGGCACCAAATCAGACTTTCGTCTGCCCCGTTACACCTTGTGAACATTTTAATGCTTTAAGAGGTTAAACACATTGGCTGTAGAACTCAGTCTGACTGAGATTTTAATTTAAAGGAGGAGGCTTGTATCTGAGCTGAAAAAAAAAAGTGTAATGCACCTCTAAATAAAACTATATTTTCCCAGTAAATATATATGCGTTAAATAATTAAAACAGCATTCAAAAGTACCAAACAGCCAACAGAAGAGTTTAAATATCAGATCAGTGGAATGGATACAGTGATTGCTAATGTGCCAAGACAAGTTCCTATAGTCTGAAGTTTCAGTACATGTTCTGCAGTCTGCCAGCGTGCACAGTGCATTAAATAAAAATCTATAGTTATTTTCATAATTAGCACTTACAGGGGGCTCTGTCCCCAGACGACTGCAAAGCTAAAAAAAACACGTTTAGTACATTGTCCGCCCTGGAGCGCGGAGCCCAGGGTCACAGTGGAAGGGAGACGGGACAGAGCTGAGCTGCGGGGAAGAGAGCCCACAGCGCCGGCGTCCGCGCCGCGCCGCTCACACCTTTGGCACAACGAGTCTCGGCAGCGCGGGCCACCCCACCCCTGCACGCCTCTCGCTTCGTACCCCTGCCAGCTGCTCAGGTCAAACCCAACACCCGGGCAGCCTGGCTTCATCCTGATGTTAAGTCGGGACCAAGTAATAAGATAAGTTTCCTGTTATTTTTTTTTTGCATCAGCTTTATACACCTATTCTGCATTAACAGTGCATTGCACAAATGTACAAGAAAAAAATACTGGTTTTACACTATACATTTCTAAAATATTTACAGAGTAAAATAAGTTATTGACATTTTCATAATGGATGTTGCCATTGTTCAGCAAATATGTGTAAGAATATATGTATATATATATCTTTACACATATACAGGTTCTCTACACGCAGCTACTTTTTGGTTAGCTATCATCAGTATTTGTAACAGAACTGCTGTCCAGGGAAACGCTCCAGTCCCCTGGAGAGCAATTCAATAACGTTAACAGATATATTAATTCTTTTACAGCCCTGGGAGATCCCAGTTTAAAATTACACGTTAAATACCCTAACACTTACACACGAGAAGGATGTTAGCTCTAATAAAAAATAAATTTATCCCCCCCCAAAAAAACATTCTTGCGGTGCTTTCTAACCAAGCAAGCTCTCGGCCTTTACAGGAACCCCAGACATGGCAGCACAAACCCAGCTCGCGCCCGCGTCACAGGGACACGCGCAGCGGCCACGCGCTGAGGGCTGTGCCGTTACCCGTGCCGCGGTTTACAGCGGCAGGCTGGGAAGCCCCGACCGGCGTCATTCCGCCTGCTTCCTCTCCGCGCGGCGGCTGCTCAGTCCTCCAGATTATTGCGGTTGAATTTGCGGTTGGCTTATTCTGAGGAAACACAAACAATCCACGGAGAAATTCCCAAGATCCTTTAGCCCTTGTTGAAGCCCGGTGAAGCCCGCCAGGCAGGCCCGCGGGTCCTGGACGAGTGGGTCCGGCTCACAGCCCAGTGCTGAGGAGGGCTGCGGGGCGCTGGGCCTGCGCCAGGCGCAGGGACTCCCTGATCTCCAGGTTGAGCTCCATGAGCTGCGCGCCGGCCCCCGACAGGTCCTGGCTGGGCCCCACCAGCGCGAAGCTGCCCGTCTGCCCCAGCGTCTGATGGCGGAAGTGGATGTGCAGCAGCGTCTGGACGGCGTCGTCGCTGGCGCTCCCGAAGATGTCACTGGGCCAGAGGGACCTGCGGGGGCCGGGGACACGGGCACCAGTCAGCCGCCACGCCCACATGAGCCTTCATGAGAACGCTCCCCTCACACGCCTCTTATTACCCTTTAAAGGGGGACTGCAACACTATTTTCTCATTTCGGGGTCAGAAAGAATCGGCACTGATGAGTGCATTTCAAACCAGAGTGAAAGTTAAATGTACACAGTGTCTTGTAAAACCTCCATCACAAAATAGACAAAATCTCCAGGTGTCACAGAGCCCTGTTCTGTGATTCAGAATGAGGGAACAGAACTCCCAGTGAGGTGAAGTGGCCCTGTGACACTGTGAACAAGCCGGCTTGTGGACACATCTCTTTAATCCAACTGAAAAATTGATCTCGACTTCCAGACGGTTTTGCCGACAAATACTACTTACTAGTTAACCCTGCATGCAGATCACATTAGAAACTTTCTGCAGTGAAATGTCTGCTGCACAACTGGTACTTATCTGCTCGTACATCACAGTACATCAGTCATCACAGTGACTAGTGAGCAGGAAGGGCAGCTTCATGTCAATGCCTGTGGCGAGACCAGAGGTTTGCGACAACTTGGCGACTCACAGTACTTCACAGTTCACAATTTTGTGCTTGCTTTGAAACGTGTATTTCTTTTCTATCCTATCAATTATGTTGTAACTAAAATGTAATAACTAGTCTGAGAACTTGGGACCGCGGGTCCCCTTTAAATAGACCCCCTTTTATTTTATGGCTTGTGGTTATTAGAATCAATCCATTGAGGAGAAAAGCCAGTGTCCTACACCGAAGAAATTATAATAAAATCCAGGTCGTTTCCTAAATCACTGATGGTGCCACGAGACGTGCAGATCTGGACTCACCTGAAGGCCTTGACTTGTGCCAGCGCAGTGCCGAAGTCCTCCTTCCTCAGGCTCTCCAGGAGGGAGTGGACGGCGCTCTCGGGGCTGGCCTGGGCAGCGTCGGGGACAGCGGGCTCCTCTCCGCCCGCCTCTGCCTCCTTCAGACAGCTCTCCAGGCGAGCCAGCTCCTCCGACATGTTGATGACCTGGAGACACGACACGCATCAGGGGCGCCTCACTGGGAGCCGGGGTCACTCGAGGGGACAGGTATTGGGAACCCCCACCGAATAAGTCGCCCAGCCTCAGTGACAGGTTAAAGCAATCAGTGCAGTCCTGTCACGTCCAATCTTTGCGAGCCTGAGCGCCCTGAGCTGGGGTGGCGATTGGGACAGAGAAGGGCATGTGCCTCTGGCCTTCAGGACTGAGATTCGAGGAGAGCTGCTCCTGCTTCACCTGCCCCAACTCTCCGGTCACTCGTCCAGCGAAAGTACTACTATTACAAAGAAAACAACTTTCTGTTCCTTTCGATTAAAAGGAACTCTTACTTCACGGCTCGTGAAGCTTCCAGAGACAGGCGCAAACTCATAGGAGGGGGCGCCTTAAGGATCCGTTAGAATCGGTCTGAGCTGACAGTAAAACTAAACCGTTGCTCAAACAGGAAAGAACTGCAGCTCAGCTTGTCAGCACAGATTTCTCTGTGCTTTGACAAGGTGATTAATCTGGGTGCCGATTGTCACTGCGGGTTTGCAGCCTCACTGCGAAGACCAGTTAAAGCTACGCAAGCTGGGGAGAAACGCATCCCTTTGGTTCCCTGACGATAATGCACAGAGCTGTGCAACTCTGTCCTTAAACGCCTGAAAACCCCCCTGGCCTGCAGCCTTCATAACCTGCGACTGTGCTCTGTGAGCGGCCGCTGGCAGCTGAAGAGATGTGCACCAGGCCAGCCCTACCTCCGCCTCTCTCTTGATGGCGTCCACGCGGCTGATGAGTTTGCAGTAGGCCTGGAACAGCAGCAGCAACTGGAAGTGCAGCTTGTAGAGCCTCCGGCACAGTTCCAGCTCCTGGGAGCGAGAGAAGTCAATGAACGGCGTCCCGCGTTTTCTAGACATCATTCACAAAACAAGTAACTGCCGACCTGCTTTTTCAAATCAAATCAGCGCAGTTAGAAATGGTCACTTGTTAGATGCGGGGAAAAGAATGGCAGAGTTAACATGTTTGATGGGCGACCGACAACAATTAAAGCCATCAGCTGCAGCAGCGACTAACTCGACTAAATGTCATCTTTGGAAAAATGGAAATGACAGTTGAGGTGGAACATTAGCTATTGATCACCAGGGACTGGACAGACAGGACGAATGAAAGGAAACACACAAGGATGAAGTCACGGGCATGCACACACACAATGCACAAGGCCATGTAAATAAGCTTTCAGTTCTACGGGTTCGTAATAGCCCAAACTGTAATACACACCTCTTCAAACAAATTGGTCATTAGTATATTTTTTGCAGTTGTCCAGACAACTGTGACCTATAATTTGTCTTGGGTGTTTTATATTATTTTATTTTTTGGTCGGGGGATTTTTAAGACGCACCAGAAAAGGTGCATGAGGAGTCAAGTTAAGCCATTCCAGAAGGGACTCCGAGTTGCTACATCACTAAAGGGAGCTGCCCGTTTCACGACAGCGATTATTTACTGTGATTGCCGGAGAGATGGGTAACGGTGTTAAAGAGGTCGGAGTCGAGACAGCGCAGGGGGCTGAGGAAGGGCAGCACCGAGCAAACGCCAGGCATCGGGGGGCATGGCCGCACCACAGAGACGAACGCCACATGGATGAGGATCGGCTGGCCAGCTGACACGATTAGAAAGGTCTAAAATTCAAGAACCACTTACTGCTAGAACTTCCATTTGCTAAGCAAGAGGTTGAGCAGGTCACAAAAACACAAAGAAAGAAGAATCAAGAATTAGTGAGCTCACAACTTAAAAACCAGAACAGAGAGGAGGAAACAATACCAAAATACAATACGTGTAGCCTGAAAAAGAGTAAGTTGGGCTGGAAGCCATTTCTGCAGTGAAACCCTTTCTCCTCTCACTTTGGGGTAGCTTTCAGTACAGGGTTCTGTTCGACTGGGTTTGGAGTCTTGTTGGTGAAAAAAGTAATTGTCAGATCTTTACTGGGAAAAACTGTGCTGCGCGACAGCTGTAAAAATCCAAACCTGACACACACGGCAGATATTCCGTGAGAGAACCCACCTGTACACATAACAAATTCAACACGTAGGTGTGGATATACATGGCAACACAGACGTCAGCCACAGAAACATGCTCAGATGCTCCACCAGTATCCTACTGAATGCTTTTGAAATGCAGTAAAAGCTTGTGGTGGAATTAAAGAGAGCTTTGGCGCTTGTGATTCTCCCTGCCGTCTGAAGCCTGAATCCTCCACAGTCTGAGCTGTGGGAGCAGACGCTCAGAGCAGCTCCCAGCCCTGGCGTCTATAACACATGCAACAGCGAAGCGAGCCGGCACCCCAAACACATCACCCAAGGCTCGTATTTGCTCTCTAAATTATTGATCATTTCCTTTGCTGAGGCACTTTTTTAAACAGCTTTTGATTTCTTCCTTTTTTTTTGAATTAAAATGCAGGATCACGAGTTCTCACACAGATTTCTTAAAGTTGCCAGGGTGCAAATGACATCTGAGGCAGCAGTGCTGATGAAAACAGGGGCCAGCGGGTTGGACACCTCGACTGCTACAGCAGACATCATATGACTGTGGTGTCCAGATGAAACAACCCAACTATCAGCATCACAGGAGGATTTTATTTGAACAGGGGAAATAAGGAACAGGCCTGGGTCTACGGGTAAAACTGAGCACAAGAAGGGAGGGGGAGGCGTTTTTTTAAAAAAGGCCATCAGGAAATTGGAGCACAGAGAGCAAGGTACAGCCGAATTAGATTTTCAAATCGGACAGCGGACGTCACTGGAGGCTGGCCATTCATCGCTCCACCGTGCCAAACCTGGCCACGCTCCAGGTGTTCGGAATACTATATTCCTGCCAACACATTCGCTGTGCCCTCTAACAATTTTCTCAGAACTTCACGGCATCACAATAAACTTCACTCTGCACCTTCGACCACTTATTTATATAAACGCAGCGACAGAGCAGCACAACGCAAAACGTGTTCCAGTAACGCGTGGTGAAAAACAAATTCGACTGCTAACAGGAGGCTCACTGCAGCGTCTCAGGGGTGTGTGTGCAGTGACCTGATCAATAAAGAGCTTCACAGAAGAGAATGTGACAGAGGCTGCAGGTAGCCTGAAAACCTTTGACAGCAGGGTGGTGGGACCAGTGAGAAGAGGAACCCACACAGCCCTGTCAGGGTGACGGACTGAAGGGCTCACTGTCAACTCTCCACAGAGAAGGATACACATCAGAGAGTTTCTGATGGGCACACAAAGCATCTCGACAGAAGCCTTCTGCTGTCATTTACAACGAGGAGGTTCTGTCTTCACTATTTCTCAGCAACAAGTCCATCTCCTGATTCGGGATTCAATATATTTAATATAGTTTGGCACTTTTCCTGAACATTCTGGAAAACCTTCTCCAGTAATGTTTGAGATTAAATGATAGCCTAATCCTTCATCATCATGCCGATACGTGGGTCACAAGTCTAGCAATGAAGCAGGCCTAAAAAAAGGAGAACCTAAGCATGGAGATACTAAACAATGCTCTCGGTTTTATCTTAATATTTGATTTTACCAGCCAGTTGAGGAGAAAATGTGCTGTATTGGCTGAAGACCATTTTAGATCAGCTCAAATGGAGAGACTTTACCAACGGTTGTAAAAAAAATCTAAGAGCAGCACCAACAGTCCCGTTTCCAGTGTCCTCTGTAATTCAGAAGGCTGTGCCTGGCACTCTGCTTACCTGGGCCTCAGTGTTTGGCCTCTGGGAGCCCTCCTTCTCTCCAAAGGTCCTTTTACAGTTGTCCAACCACTGCAAGGACACGAAACAGCCGTGAGAATCACACGGGGAAAGCACCTGCTTCAGAATAACTCCACCAGGGTCGTGCCTCTCCATTACACCGACACACGGAGCGGCATGTGGAAGTACAGTCTTGTCCCTATCCCTTACGGAGACGGGTTTGTACCCTGGTCCTGCGACCACTCTCTAACGGCCGTCTCGCTTACAGTGACTGCTATTCCAGAGAGACAGAGGTTTCTGGGACTGACAACACCTGTTCCCTGAGTCTAGGAGAGTGTCTGGTCCTTCAGCACCGAGAGGGTAAAAAGAACAAGTAGACGAGCCCGGTTCTGCATGAATGGAGTCTCGCACCTAAGGAACTAGCCCAGAGAGGGAAGGAGGAGACCTGACAGGCCACTGAGCGGCCCGTGCCAGCGTACTAACTCAAGCCTGTGAGTTTCCGACCATTTAATCACAATGCAGATATTTAAAACCCACACATGTGCGTCTGTTTGATCCAGATGGTCCTGGGTAGAGCTGTTACCGCCCCCTGCAGGGTGGGGCTCGCGCCGGCGCTGTCGCCGTGGCTGCGGTGGAAACCCATCCTCCTGCTCGGGGCTGGCCTGTCCGCAGCCGCGCTCTGCAGGAGGGGAGGGGAGGGGGGAGCAGTGTGCATCTCCTCCTGCAGTAAATCTAATAAGAGCAGCGTACTTAGGGAATTAAACGAGCCTGCTTGCGCACGTGGGGCGGAGAGCTGCATCCCCCAGAGACAGGGCTGTCTGATCCAATTAGTGCCCTGAAGCCCAGGGTCCCCTTCAAACCTCGTTTGTCTTCTTTATCTGACAACTTCCGCTTTGGCTGCAGCCCATTTATTTGACAAATCTCGAGTAACCAGATCTCATTCCTGTCACCGGCAGAAGAGATGGGAAGTTCTTCCAGCCCCGCGCACTGGTAATGTCAGAGCAGTTTTTAAAGACAAGACAACGGTCTTGGTCCCAAAGCTCCAGTGGCCAAAACAACCTTCCAGGCACTTATTTAAAGGCTGTGGACCAAGCAATCAAACTCGCAGGAAGAACACCCTACCCCCTGCAGCAGTTCAACTGAAACAACCCTTATTTAGTACAACAAAGTAACAAAAGCCAGAGGTGGCGAGCTGCTAATGGAAATCAGAACGTATCACTTGCGCAGAGATACCGATGCCTTCGCTTTCCTGCTGAAGCATCTACAAAGAGAACATTACATAGCCAGATCTCTAAAGACTCTAACAATTTGTGTACTTTGGTTCAAGTACATTAGGACACACATTTATTTCTGCCTTCACCTTTTAAGTTTCCCTAATCTTGCCACCCTTTCCTGTCAAAAAAGAAACAAACAAGCACTTAGAAAACTGCTCCGGCTACCAAGACCTCTGGAGGGTTTTAGGAACATGTCTTTTCTTTCTTCCCGGGATCATTCTTAAAAAAGAAAAGGGTGGGACTGCTCAACATGACGAGGCTGCACGCAACGTCTTCAGCGAACCGACCTGGGAGGCCGAAGACAGGAGTTTCTGGGCTCACCTGCTGGGCCGCCTCTCTCTTGGCGTTGTAGGTGTCGAGATGCTCCTGCAGCTCCAACACGCTGAACTTGAGCGTCTCCAGCAAACCGCAGGACACCAGCTGCAGGGGAAGAGACCCGACACTCAGCCTCCCATCCCAACAGCACAGGCCGCTGGGCCAGGCTTCTAACACAGCTGAGACTCGCAGACAAATACCTCGCCTTCTCAATCCTGAAACCATCCAATAGTCAACACCTCGCCCTTCACCGGCGTTCTCGCACTGGAGTGCAATCACTGCATCTCCGCCTTAGTCAAGAGGGTCTCATCTTACAGCTCATTGGAAAGTGGACAAAACAGCTCTGAAACATTCCTGAGGGATGCCAGGTGCATGTTATGAATTAACATTGCACACGAGTTGTAAATTACTGTCCACCCACACATGCACCAGGTCTTCAGAAAACAAGATAAACCACTACAAAATAAACAGAAGCACAGACATCACAGCTGATCTCCCATCGTGCCTGTTGCTGAAGCCAATTTCCTGACTTCTTCAGGAAATGACTGCAGAAGATTCTGGGATCAATTAATTATTAATTACGGAACAGGCTGCATGGGCTCCTCTTGCTTGTAACTTTTCTTGTTTCCTTATGTATTTTTGTTTCTTGTGTGTTCCTATGTACATATGCGTTTCTCTCTGTAAAACCTGGGGATTGTTAGAATCAGTCAAAGAGCAGAATGCTGCATGCGATGGTTTTTGCAATATGCCAATCCTTGCAGAAAATAACATGTACAGAGATTCAGACTCTGTAGATAAGGGATGAACTTTAGACTTTTATGAACAAACTGACTTTGTTAGGCTTTTTTTTAACCGCTCCTTGATGAACGAAGTACAGGGTCTGCCGTGTCAAGCGCTCAAACAAAGTCACAGGTGTCATGCCACTGTCAAACACTGGGTCGCACGACCGGAACATCTATTGTAAATCATGTTGCGGGTGAAGAAAAAAGGAAAGAAAGTGGCCGAGCCAGAGTGACTCACAGTTTCGGCGTCAATGAAAACGGTGGGGCACTCCGAGCAGGTCAGCATCACCGACAGGGAGCTGTGGAACTTGGCTCCGATCCTCTGAAGGCTGTCTCCCAGGAAGCTCACAGAGTCGTTGGTCAGGCCTCTGAATTTTCTCTGGATGTTCTGTCGTTGCAAAGAAAGACGCACTCCATTTTCTGGGTTTGAGCCTCATTGTTACAGACAGCGGTACTTAAGTGGTTTGTGAACTAAGCCCGGGGCCTCAGAGGAGCAGGAGTATGCCCCCCCCCTTCCAGAGCTGGGTTCTACGGGGGGGGGGGGAGGGGGATATCTCCTGCAGGTCAGACGGAGATGGAGAGGCTGCAGCTACATCGCTTCAGCACACTAGAACACTTGTATGAACCAGTTATGCACTCAGAGAAAGGAAGAATACATATTTCATATACATTAAGGACTACGACTACTCCTGTATTTAAAGGCATGTAAGGCCCCCCTGTAGCTGAACCTACAGGTGAAGCCATCGTGCCTTCTCTTGCGATACTATCCTGACACTGCTAGATACAGGAGGCCTCACGTGGCAGGGAATCATTCAAAACTAATGACTCCTGAAAACAACCCCTCTGGGGAGTACCTGTGGTTTGGTATTTGGCTACAAAAATAACCAGATAAAAAGCAGCAGCACAGCGCAGTGTGGGCGGACCTGAAACAGCTGAGAGAACACGTGAAATGTGTAAACGGCGCAGGACCCATCGGTGTCCGACAGCATCTGGTTGACGTGGCAACGCCAGGCGTCCTCTTCGTCGTCGCAGGACACGGGCTGGAAGGCCGCCAAGATGGCCGACAGAAACGGGGACGGGGGAGGAGACACCTGGATTTCAGGAAACCCCTCCTGGTCTCCTTCATCTTGACTGCAAATGAAACACAGCCTCATTAGAACTGCGGAAGTCATCAGCCCTTCACCATCTGACACGCAGACGACTTCTCTGTTCCCATTAAAACGGGCAAAAGCACGCACAAATGGACCAAACACAGTACATACTGTACAGGACACTTACAAGTCCTTGACAGCGCAGTACTAGAGGCAGCTTCTGACTGCAGTCGGCCCCTTTCAGTTTAAATAGACTTTGGGGGAAAAAAAACAAAAGAGCAGAAAGCCAGGTACTTACAGGTCATAATTACCAAACAGCCTCACAAGGCAGACAGAGTAAACGTATCTGAAGGACATCATCCCCCCGCCTGGGCCAGGGCGCGGGCTCCGCGCGCAGCAGTCACGGCACGCGGAGAGCCGCCAGCGCTGGCCCCGGCCATCAGGAGCGCTGAGCTAGGGAAACGGGCCCTGAAGGACTCGGCTGCAGTGGGCAGCTTTATTCCAGTCTTTCAGATCAAAAAAACCCCAGAATGACTTTGGATCATTTCTGTCTTGAGGGAGAAGACGAGTTGGAGGATTGCCACGGACACGAGCGATCAATTTAACGAGCGCTGGTGTCTGCCGCAGATGTCGGGGATGCACTCCTTATCGTATATCAAGGCCTGTGGCAGTCACTTAGCCGGCGGCATTAATCACTGCTTCTCCTGGGACCGCAGTGCTGATTCATTAGGGCCGTGGCTGCACTCTGGGGACTCGTGTCCTTCCCCGCTCCTCCGCGCCCCCTCGACAGCGCCCTGCAGCTGGGGGGCCCGGCCGCTGGCTCGATAAGCAAAGAAGGCTCCGCTGCTTTTTTGGGGTTGCCATGGAGAGCAGGAGTGGAGACAGGACGCCGAGCACAGCGGCCACATACAGATGAGGGAGGCTGCTGCTGCATGTGCAGAAGGAGGCGCCCGAGAGGAGAGCTCTGCGAGGCTGCTGAGCATGCCCGTCCAGCGTGGACCGGGCCAGCTGTCCACTCTGGAGCCCAGTCCAGCGCCGCTGTGTGGGCCTGGCGCGGCGCCGAGCGGCTGCTCACCTCGACAGGCCCGAGAAGTCGGCCTCCTCCTCCTCCTGACACCGCTCGTCCAGCTCCTTGAGGGCCAGCGTCACGTCCTCCTCGCACACGGACCCCGGCGGGCTCTCCTGCGGCGGCGGGGCGGGCTCCAGGGCGTCCCGGGGGTCCTGCGCGTCCGGGAGGCCGAGGAGCTCCGGGGGGTCGGG